AAATTAATTTGCTAATAATATATGCTTTTTAGACAATTTTTATAATATTTTCATACTATTTAAATTTAGACTTTATTCTACGATTTTCGTTATTATTGTCATAATTTTTTTTATACCTGTTGATAATCTAAGACAGAAAAAGAAACGTGAGAAATCATAACGATAATTTAGGGATAAAACAATACAAAAACCGAAACTTAGTAGGTCAGCGTTGCGTTAAGTATAACTTGTTATTCAAACTCTGCGGATTGCGCAATATTTGTTTGATATGGAACTTAATAAGAACTGATAAGTTGATAAGGTGGCCTTGTAAAACATCGTCACATGAATAGTTTTAAATATAAATTATACAGCGGAATAACAAATTGACACCAGACAAATGACTGTGATAATATTAAAATACAAATAAAATAATTGGGAAAACGCAAGATAATTCGCACTTTTCTAAGATCACATATATATTCGCAGTTCTTCGAATTTAATCGTGATTGTGGTTGTTAATTAATTGGTTAACGATTTATGACACAAACAGCTATTCCTGGATCAGTATATACCAGCAAAATAGAAGAACCTTATACAGGTTCTTTATACAGTGGTGAAGGCGCAAGGAACAATTACAAGTAACTAAAGTGTTGAACGAAACAAAAATAAAACAAATTAAAAGAAGTCTTTCCAATAAGTCTTTGTTAAGGATGTCCGTCACTTCGACAATCATACTACTGGGTATCATTTGACCAATTAAAAAAAAAAAATGGTCAAATAGTCAAATGAACTGGTAGTTAATTATAAATTCTACGATCTGTAAACAATGTTTTTTAAATATCTAGTATCTTCTAAAGCATTTGAAATATCAGTACAAATTTGATACACGTTTTTGGCTATTGATGACTCACATTTATAGAGAGCGACAAAAAGATGGGTTGCATAAAACCGACTTTTTTAACTCTTGAAGAGTTTGCTCCTTACCTAGACCCCTAGCATATAGAGAGTAACTAAGAAAAATATTGGTCTTAAAAATTTTTGCTAAAGCAGTAAAATGAATTAATTAATTTTGCTAAAGCAGTAAAATTAAAAATATATTAGATGAGATGATTGTGGCAGTGTGTGATAGTATTTTTAAGGATTGTTATATTCTAATGAATCTACTGATACTCCGTTTTTTGAAAACTTCAACACCCTATATATTAGAAACCAGGTCGTAAGGGTCAATACTCAATATTCTTAAATGTGATCGGGGACATCGTTCCTTACAAATATGCTAATTTGTAACATAAATAGCGAAAACATATTTTTTCAGTGCCAGAATACATATCTACGCCACTAAGATGGGTTGAAACTATTTTATTTATGTATTCTGCAGACATTTACATTTCTTCATTTGTCAAGAAAGTATTTAGAAATGATTTTTTTTCAATTATGAATACTCAAAAACAAGGTACATTATTTTTACTTACTCCATGATTCCAGAATTTCCATGGTTAAAATTAGAGATACTCTGTATGTATGCAAAGATATCCTCACGGTATTTCTTTGATGTTGTATTTGGTAATTATTGATAACTCGTTTATTAATTTTAATGAAAATTATTTCAAGATCAACCGTTTTTTTAGTACCACTCTTTCAAGTTAGAGGGTCCTAAATTGCACTTTCCGATAGGCAAAAAAAATCGACATTTTTATCTCCGCATATACAAGGTGTAAGAAGTTTGACTGCCACTACTTCAGCATGAGATAGAGTAATCATAAATGAACAAAGTTGTATATTACAGGGGCGTAAGATTAACAGTTTTCGAAATATAGCGAGTATTAATATTGAGGAGTTTCATCACAACGTGACAACAGCGCTTAACCTAATGTTACACAGCTGATGCACACCACGTGTGCACGCGGCAGATTTGTCCTACGGAATAACAAAACTGTAAACAACTATTTATTATTGCGAAACATTTAGTACATTTCAAGACAATTGTTTTCCAGTTTTTAAATAAATAACATGTATCAATTTTGTAGTACGAAGATAGTGTTGTGATTAAATTTTAGCTCCAATTTTAGTAATTATGAATCTCTTAGAACAGGAACTTTTAATCAAATTATGAATTTGAAAAATATGTAATTAAAGTACCCAAAAATTCACGTAGTCCAAATAATCATACGTATAAAAAATAATTTAGAAACTTATCAAAAAAGCAAAATTCGGTAATTTTTAAATGCACAAGTATAAAACAAAGTACAACATATGATCAAAATGTCCACCACCATTTTCTATGCACGCACGACACCTTCTAATCCAATTTTCGCGCACTTGCTGGGAAATATCTGTATTTATCCTTATTTGATGGGCAGCGGCAAAAATTCGTTCTCGCGAATCTTCGACTGTCGAATTCCAGATACCAACTGAATTCCGTTTTTAGACACCTTAGTACCTCGTGTTAACCGCCGCACCGTTGTCACATTGCTCGATATGAATTTTATCGAATTTTAAATTTATTACAACCCTAATTATGTTTCAGAATTAAGCATAAAGAAGTTCATAAAAGTGATAAGTATTTTATGGTATTCTATGCACGCAGCTATGTCAATATTCCTTAATTAATCGAACTTTTGTATATCAAGTAGGAGATTTTGATAATTTTTTTCTCGGAAATGGTTGAGTTTAGGACCCATGTCATATAGGGTTTTTTTGTTTATTTTAATAAATTCTATCTCGTCTGTTAAAATTAAGGCAGTCAAACTTACCCTGTATGAACTAATTTCAATGTTGAATGAAACCAAACGTCTCCCCACTAAATAAAATGTTTTTCGCTTAATTAAATCTTGGTGGAAGAAAATACCCATAATTCAAGAAAACACTTTTTGCGTGTGATACAGAAGTTACATATTTTAAAAAACGCTGTCAACAGATCGTCTAATTACTCGTACTATACCCTCGTAAGGAGTCGAAATTGAACAACAGTTAATTTTTTTGTGTTAATTGTGACAAAGAACCACCACGCAAAAGTTTTGCAGTCCGTTCAAGAGACACTTTATATAAACCATTAAAAAGTTTATTTTTCTCCTCGGTTATTTTTTACGTCAAACCCAACTTATTTCCTTCAACCTTCCTTGATTTAACCCAAGCACTTTCATAAAATTTTTGATAAAATATGAGTATGTGTTCCCCAAGATTCAAAACTGGTTCCCAGCGAAAGAAATCAATCAAACGCGATACCACGCGCCGTAAAAACTTCTCGGCGGCCTAGAAAGTTTTACATCGTTTCATAAAGGACCCTCCGACCTGAAAGTTATCGACTCGAAAGGTTGACGCTAATCTAAGGTAATTTATCTCAATTCCGCTTCCGTTGGAATGGAAATGGTTTATGGACTGCCGCCCGGCACAATTCAGACTTCCAGGCTAAAATTAATATGTAGCTAATTGCCTACTTCAATTAAATTCAAGACATTAAGGACGAATTCCAATTTGTCTAATTGGTCTCGACGAAATAGTGCGTGTTTTGTTTAAGAGGATTAGAAGAAAAGCTGTTTTCAGTGGAACATCATTTGCAAGGATCTGCTAAGCTGGAAAAGTGTTTTTTGTTTAATTGAATTAAATTCAATTGAATTTAAAAAGAACTTTGTGTCCGCTAAACTCTAATGGATTTATAAGATGCTTTTCTTAAAGACTTGAATTGTAAAGTAGCATTTTAAAACTTGAAGTAAATAATTTTAAAAAGGGTACAGTCCGTACGATATTGTTGAGATAGAATTCCAATATACACTTACGAAAAAACACGCTTTCGTAACTGCAAGCTGCAGCTTTCCAAATTTACAAGAATAAACCAAAACGAAACAAGAAAAATTGTCGATATTTATTATATTACAGTATAATTAAATTCTTGGTATTGTACTGTAATTCTGGCATTGTCCATAAACGTTGCGTCGCATGGAATTTATAATAGATGCATCACAATTATTGAGATGAAAGTTACGTCTTCGTTCGCAATTACTTTGCTTACCGTTATCAATAGTTGTGACAATTTTTTTTTAATATAGGCATTATTTCGACATCTTGGGAAACTGCTAACGGAATCCCCATCCACGATAAATGAGATAAATTCAATAGGGAAAACTATATCTAAATCAAAATAATATCGGATTTTATCATTTCTTTTCTCTACGACTTAGAACTGGATCAATATGGCTTTCTTCCTGGTCGGCCTAAAACTACCAATCTTCCGTTATGCTTAAATGAGTGGACCTTTGCAGATAATATAAGAGCCCATTGATGTCATCTATCTGGATATTCCAAAGCATTTAATAAATTGCTCAAACTAGGTCGCAGCTTTTCCGAATTTAAAAATATTAGAAGTAGTGTTCCTTAAGGCTTTGATATATACCTGATTTATATATTTTATGTAGCCGTTATGTTAGTTTCTAAATGTTCTCTGTATGCCAATTACATCAAAATTTATAACAATCCTTTTGCGGATTATTATTAGGTGCAACTTGATCTCCCACAAATTCGCTAGTGGAGTGAAGTCTGGTGACATCAACTTCAATAAATGTGTTGTCTTTGACATTCGAAAGAATAACCCTCGTGTAAACTGTTCTATTGATCGGAGATCTCGTGGTGGAACTGAGTTTACAAGAGACGAAAAAGTTTCTAATTTCAATGGCTTTCTAGCGGACTAATAATTTTTAAGAAAATTGAATATGCGACCAAATTTTTTTTACTCCAAAGACAAGGGGGCTCACGAAAAAGTGTCTTAAGGGAATTCCCCGCCAAAAAGCATAGCACTACGGGTCCCATAAATTTCTCTTAAGAATCTGTGACCAAATTTTGTTGCATTAATTTCGGTACACTGGGTATTTTATGAATTACAAATAGCCCACATACATTTAGAAATTTCTGATTATTATTACTAAGGAATGTATTTTAAAATGTCTGATTTTTTACAATGTAATTGCAATCAACATTATACGGAAATAACTGTTACGTATAATTGAATTTGATGTTTGTTGCAGGATACGATACTCCAGAGAAAGTGATCCTCGCTTACAACGGTCTAGGTCCTTGGGGACAGAAATCAGGATCTGCCAGTTTTCACGGTTGCCCTGTCAACAGATGCACACTAACAGACGACAGGAGTAAAGCCGCCGACGCCGACGCCCTACTTTACAAGGACACCTTCATACATCCCGGGGTACCGCGACCCATGAAACAGGTAATTAAGCACGATAATACACTGTGGTTTCACTGTTGAAGAAATTATAACTTTTGTTTTGTAAAAATATACCTTCTTGTTCAAATATCTACAATATACCAATGATTCCTCAGGTTACTCGGAAGGTTTTCACGGAGACTAAATTCTCAGTTAAAATTTAATTCTAAAGTAATTTAAATTTAAAAAAAAATTACGTTTTGTCTATCAGCTTGAGACATACGAAAAGTGTCGAAATTGGGCCAATACATAAAAATTAAATTAACTAAATGAAGTGGCTTGTTTTCATTTGATGTCTATTTATTTTTTCCACTGAAAAAATCGCATTCCTGTTAGAAAGAAGAATTTTTCGAACTTCTCGAATAAATTGTTTAGGTATTACAGAATTTCGTTACAGCAACATCAAATCCTTTTCCAATCTCTTTTCTTGATATCTATGTACAGATTTACTTTGATCAGTATTTGTGTATACAGAACGTATAAACTTAATTCATGAAACTGAGTAATTAAAAAACTTTTCTGGATTTTGCACCAACTTCAAAAATAGACAATAAAATCGTAGCTTGTTTTTAGAACTGTTCTTTTTAGTGCTTCATTTTATTTTCTATCGCGTAAGTATATGATGTGTTACCGGGCAAATAGTTCAGTTGTTTGTATTTTTTCTTATCTGATACAAACATTTATTACAAAAACTTTACAATTTATTCAAAATAAATGAAAATAGAAACATGAAAAACTAGGAGTAATGTAGGTTTAAGGGGAATATAATTAGAGTTGCTTTTATTTTTTTTAATATTTAAATAAAAAATTTTATTTTAAATTTTTTGTGGAAAAAATAAAAATACAAAATATGGCGTGATTTATTAGAACTCGGCAATATTTTAAAGGTAAATTAATAGTTGCAAAAGGCCATTCATAAAATTTGAAGGCAATTCGACTATATTCCTAATTCCAATTTGCAACTCTTTGAAATTCCATTGACAGTACTTAGCTAACAGATTGATAAAAGCCACTTATCAAGCGCCTGTATTTTGACTAGTGAAATGACTCAACTAGCAAGTAGGAACTGTTTGATTAGATTGTGATGTGAAAGTGTAATAGTCCACAGTACAGCCCCCCCCCTGGAAAGTTGATTACCACATACTTTATAACTCCTGAGGAGCTTCGTTTTGACGAGTCTACCACATTTTTCCTCTGCGACTTTTCTCGATTCCTCCGCTTTTCCACTCGGAAAAGTCCAAAAACATGGCAATTTCCCGGGGTCTTGAAAAGTCAAGACCACATCTTTTATCTTTAGCTTAAGTAACTGGAAATTTTGTTGCAAATGCCGATTTAAATTTGTCCGACAGAAATTCTTCCGACATTGACGTGTCTACCGGTCGAAACATGCCAAAATAACGGGGTATTGAAAATCAATTACCACATAGGTAATTTTTAGTAAAATTAATTGTAAATAATTAATTCAGTCCAAAAGTACTGTTGTCCGACAAATTTCATGCCGCGTTTTTTCAGTCCGACAGCTGGAAATTGGAATTTTCACGGGGTATGATAAATCGATTACCACATGTCGGACAAAACTAACACACGATAGAAAAGTGTTTTTTATAAGCAAAAATTGTCCGACAAAAATATATCAGCAAATCGTCAGTCCGACAAATAAAGATGAAAAAAATTTCGTAAAAAATGTGCACATGTATTTATAATTTCTAATAAGGTATTTTCATGTATTAAGCAAAATTCCATATAAATATACAATACAGGGTGTTTCAGAAAGACCTACCGTAAATACAGGGGGTGAGGACGACAAAAAATAAGAATTTTTTGTCATATGAACTATATGTCTATCTCCTCTTCTCAAGAGTTTAATTAAAAGCCTTTTTTCTCGAAAATCGTCCACATTAGGAAGTTCTATCAAGTTCAAGAGTACATTATTTTTAGAAAATAAAATTGTACAATAGAAATTGGAGCCCAACTGGTAAAAAACCTAACCTTAAAAAAAATATAACTTAAATTGTAATAAGAATGTAGCATAACTAGCGCCCTCTATGAAATATACCAAAAATAATTAGACTAGCGTATTTGGCACACTTAAAAACCTCGGACTACTAAATTTCATAAAAAATATTTCCCACCATTTGGAAATTTTCATAAAAATGTTATTTAAAAAATTTTATTTTGTCTCTCTGTATCTCGAAAACAAGAGGAGATAGACATAGAATTCATAAGACAAAAAATTCTCATTTTTTGTCATACTATCACCACCTTTATTTACGGGAGGTCTTTCTGAAACACCCTGTATATATTTTTCGTTTTATTTGTGTAATTGTAAATCTCTATACACCTACTCAATTTAGCCAGATAAATATCGAGAAAAGAATTAAACGATTTCAAAAAAGTATGTATGGTGTAAAAAAATTATGCACAAAAGTTTTGGGATTTTCTTTTAGAAAATTAGGATCATTTTTGTAAATAAAAATAACAAACGCGAATGAAAACTTGAAAGAGAAAAAAGGATTTTTATATCAAGTATAATATTAATTTATTTAGAAATAATGCATTATGCACTAAGATCGTATTAATTGCCTCAAAAATAACTTCATTTGTTTATAACTTTCAAATTTTTAAGCATAAAATAAGCAATATTATAATCATTTATTTGAAACAAATAATAATTTACATAATAATAATTAATAACCTTTTATAAATATGCAATTTTTGGAGTGAAAAAATTAAATTTCATCACGTTTATTGATTTATTGATTTTTTAATAATTTGCGAACATTAAATCGTCGGGCACTTATACCATTATTTTGTACAGTAAATTTAAAAGTGGAAAAAATGAAAATTAGATATGTGGTAATCGATTTTTCATACCCTGTGAAAATTCCGATTTCCAGCTGTCGGACTGAAAAAACGCGGCTTGAAATTTGTTTTGTGATGTGGTCTTGACTTTTCAAGACCCCGGGAAATTGCCATGTTTTTGGACTTTTCCGAGTGGAAAAGCGGAGGAATCGAGAAAAGTCGCAGAGGAAAAATGTGGTAGACTCATCAAAACGAGAAATTGCCATGTTTTTGGACTTTTCCGAGTGGAAAAGCGGAGGAATCGAGAAAAGTCGCAGAGGAAAAATGTGGTAGACTCGTCAAAAAAAACGAAGCTCCTCAAGAGTTCTATATTAAGTATGTGGTAATCAACTTTCCAGGGGGTGGGGGGGCTGTACTGTGCACTATAACCTTGGCAACTTTCATTCCTTACAAAGATTGTGACACTGTAATTACATGCGATAGTGCTGTGTAGGAAAATTAGGTATCTACATGTGTATGGAAAAATGTGAACAAAATTTCCCGATAGATCAAGCCAAAGAGTAGCTTCCAGTAGTGATTTACACTTTAATATTATTTTGAGAAATTCCAATGAAACATAATACCTAGACAATTATAGTAATTATTAATTACTGAATTACTCTTAAGCAATCGAACTGATTGACAAGTTATTTTCAGGATAGTCTACATTTCTTTGTTAAATATGTATATATTTTCTTATTTAAAATTTTTGCAGGTCTGGATTATGTATTTCCTAGAATGTCCATATCACACGCAAAGTATTAAGTTTGCTGACGTAATCAACTGGACTGCAACTTATCGACGAGACAGTGACATTGTGGCTCCATACGAAAGATGGACTTACCATGATCCACAGGTAGGAAAATCATCTGTGTGGCGTTTTTTGTTTGTTTGTGTCTTGCAGTTTGCTATAATCATAAAAATCATTGATTTCTTGGTCGAGGTTCGGAGATCGAAGGCTTCTCGTTTGCATATTAACGTATTATTGACTTTATTTGTTACTGTTTTATAAAATCAGTTGTTGTAATTTTATATTTTTTATGAACAGGCTTAACCTATGCGGCAATGTTGACCGATTGATAATTTATAAATAATAGACAGTGGACCTGGTATATCAAACGGATATTACTGATTATGAACATAAATTAGAATTAATTGATATAGTGCATGATTTGTTTTCACATACCGTTACACATTGAATAGGTGGCGCCGACGAATGAAGTTTTTTGGGGGACTGTTGCCATTTGCAAGTGTAGAAAAGCTAAATATTATCATAAAAATAGCAGATCTGACAACATCTATCATCTATTCGTTGGAGTTCAACTTGCTGCCGCTCTTCTTCAACGGGTCGTGTGAAAAAAAATTACGAACTCTGACCACCAGCGCGCTGATCCACAGTATTTGTCCCTAATATTTTGACCTTGCCCGAACTTCTAACTTTTTTGTCCTGAAAATAAGAACATAAAAGTTGGTTACCCTAATAGTTGCGACCATTGATTTATTTACTAATAGTTTATGACATGTTTGGAAGAGAGCGAAAGGAAAGAAGTTTTGGTGTCAATGGTCTTGGATATGCAATTCAAAATTTATAAAATATATTATCTATACAGGGTGATTCAGTCATAATATCATTAATTTTAAGGAGAGATAGGGAAAAATTAATAGAATACGCGTGCGTATGCGATTTAAAAAATTTCAAATGCATATTTAAATACGCTGGAAAAAAATATTTTCAAATCGTTATTTAAACCCCTTTCCGGACTACTGTTGACCGCTAATCTTGTCCTACCGTATTCGGTCATTAACCTAGCTTTTATTACGTTTTTAATAATGAACGACAAAACAGACTTTTTTACCTAGATACATGAATAATTAAGATATTTTTTACATTTTAAATATTAACAAGTCTTATTTATTTGTTAATTAAAATAAATGTATAAGGATAATTATTTTCGAATATTAGGTTATTGCAATTTAGTTGTACGTCTTCACTATGTTTTATAATAACTGGATATAGTTTTTGTATTATATTTAATTAATTATTTAGTTTGTAGTACGTATACCTTATTTTTAACTTCGATTTTCTGTCTTTATTAGGCCTTCCGAACACGTGGTTAAAATTAATGACATTATGATTGAATCACCCTGTATATCTGTGTAAATAGGGGTTACTTTTTATTAAAATAAAACCAACCTAACAATCCTTTTTGAACACTTCCACTATAAATATTTCCATCTATGTACCGTACACTTTGGAAAAAAATATTATCAAACGTTTCCAGTGGTCGCTTTTCGAACAAAACACGAACTGTATCAATTAATCCTGAGTTATGTTTACAATCCTCCACATAATGATGTGCCAGGTCCACTGGTCATTATTTATGAATCAGCCAACACTACGGCACAGAGATTGATGTCTTTAAGGCGGCAAAGGAAAACAAACGTGGACTTGTTTGCTACTGCGTTGGTAATAAATTCCACTAATTTTCCCAATAAAAAACAAACACCGTAATATTATACTGCGTTCGATTTCGAGATGCGTTGAGTAGCGCTAATGTTTTTACTGACATAACACATGCTTATTATTGAAATCAAAAACAATCTCGCTGAAGTATTATAGGCTGATATCCTTTAGGGTCACTAGAAACATCAAAATCCCAGTAAACATTAATTCAATATTGTACATTGCAGGGAAATTTTGATTAAACTTTGCATTATCTTTTTTTTAAGTTTTGTCTAGAAAAGAAATAGAAATTATTTTCCATTGCAGTTTCATTCTCTGCCATTCCATTAGTTTCATACAATGATTGAAAAAGATAACAACAAACAACAGTAACGTCAGATACAAGAGTTTAAGTGCAATTTGATGATCAAAAATTATGATCAAAACTAAGTAAAAAAGTTCATATGAACATGGGTCCGGAAATGCTTCCTAAGGGCACAGGAAGAGGGAGGAATGGAAATCATTTTTTTGCAATATCTCTCAATCGCGTTGTGATAAATGAATGAAATTTGGTATACACAGCTAAATTTTGATGAGCAATTTGATGGACTAATCCATTTATTTCCACAAGGTCCATTGGGGTGGGTACGGGGGGGCCCTTGGTACTTTGCGTGTGTAACTTTTTCATCTTTGACTTTTTAACAAATTGGACAGCAAATTCCGTTTTCCCGAACTGTTTTACGTTAAAAAGGTACTCTTGTTTCAAATCGTTATCTTTAACGGTTTCTGAGAAAATCGCTCTTGAATTAATCCCACTTTGGTCAATTTCATAGTAATTTAAACAAAAAAAATTTTTTTGTTTAAATTTAATCTAATTTTAATAAAAAAATAATAATAAAAAATTAAATTAAATAAAAATTAATCCTTTAAATGGAAAAGAGAGGAAAGGAAAATTATTATTATTTTTTTTTGTTTAAATTACTATGAAATTGACCAAAGTGGGATTAATTCAAGAGCGATTTTCTCAGAAACCGTTAAAGATAACGATTTGAAACAAGAGTACCTTTTTAACGTAAAACAGTTCGGGAAAACGGAATTTGCTGTCCAATTTGTTAAAAAGTCAAAGATGAAAAAGTTACACACGCAAAGTACCAAGGGCCCCCCCGTACCCACCCCAATGGACCTTGTGGAAATAAATGGATTAGTCCATCAAATTGCTCATCAAAATTTAGCTGTGTATACCAAATTTCATTCATTTATCACAACGCGATTGAGAGATATTGCAAAAAAATGATTTCCATTCCTCCCTCTTCAATGGGTCCCTGTGCCCTTAGGAAGCATTTCCGGACCCATGTTCATATGAACATTTTTACTTAGTTTTGATCATAGAATCGGCCTGTTCAGGGTTGGCAGCTAATTATGAGACACCCTGTAGATGATAAATATTATGTACAATAACGTATTAGTTTCCACAGTCATAAAAATGGGGGGAAGATTGTTTACAGGGTGGTTAATTGTATAATTTTTATGTAAATTCACGATTTTCGCTCATAACCTTTTTCCGTTCATTTCTTCCTTTTTTTTGGTCTTCAAAAGACCTACAAAACTAGCCATCGAGCTTCAAAAAATATTGATTAGATCAAAAGTTATAAACAGAAGAAGTTTATTTATGACTTTTTATTTAAACATTTATAAACTGCGTTATTATTACCAGAACGTTTTGGCATCGCATCCTCTCATTCCTTATCACTGTCTAATAACTCACACTTAATCTGGAATCAGTAAGTTGAATAGTTTAACTAATTTATTAGTCTGGACGATCCCGAGGATTTTCCACAATCGCACTGATTTTTTTCATGGTAGATTTCATAATAATACATTGAAATCATTTTTTTAATTTCAAATTTGCAACCTGGATTTTTTTAAATTTTTTAGCGACGCACATATTCGGAAAGCTTATGAAGAGAGCTTTAAGTTAAAAAAAATCGTCAAGATTCGTTGAAAAACAACGGAGTTACAGACTGTCAAATATATTATTTTCAAGCGAATTTCACTTATTTAACGGCAGGACCATGAATATTATCGTCATTTGCTTGGACTCGCTGTCGTTCGCTTCCCCCACCCTTCCGCCGCGCCACGGCTCGCCGAAAATCAAGCTGACTTGACAATATTTCTTATACACTTAACATACTTCCACAAATAAAATATTTTTACCTGGGAAAGTACTCGGGTTGCCGGTTATGTCAGTATTTTTTTTGCCACTACCAACCTAATTTGTTTTTAACAATCGGCCGTCAACTTTGACAGTCTGTCGTTGTTTTTCAACGAATTTTGACGATTTTTTTTAACTTAAAGCTCTATTCATAAGCTTTCCAAATATGTAATAATTTATAACTATATCACGCTCGTACGTCGTATATTTCATTTTGCAACTAAGGCTAAAAAATAAAATAAAATTCCAGGTTGCAAATTTGAAATTAAAAAAAAAATCATAGATTTCAATGTATTATTATGAAATCTACCATGAAAAAAATCAGTGCGATTGTGGAAGATGCTCGGGATCGTCCAGACTAATAATTAGTTAATTTGTTTATAAGGCCATAACTTGTAAACTATTCAACTTACCGATTCCAGATTTCGTGTGAGTTAGTAGACAGTGATAAGGAATGAGAGGATGCCATGCCAAAATGTTCTAGTAATAATAACGCAGTTTATAAATATTTAATTCAAAAGTCATAAATAAACTTCTTCTGTTTATAACTTTTGATCTAATCAATATTTTTTTACGCTCGAGGGCTAGTTTTGTAGGTCTTTTGAAGACGAAAAAAAAGTACATTACTGTTTTCTCGTGGAAATGAACGGAAAAAGGTTATGAACAAAAAATGTGAGTAAGCAATCTTTCCCCCATTTTTATGACTGTGGAAACTACTATGTTATTGTACATACTATTTAGCATCTATAGTGATAAATTCAGCTTGCCGAAACAAAAAGTCGCGTCCAATTCTATATTTCCTGGTCTAATCATGTGTAGAAAACCACCGACTTTTGGGAACAATGTGTATTTTATTTTTCATATAAACTGTAGCACATTTTAAGTATAAAATGGGTGCCTATTTAATTTTTAATTTTAATTTCAAGTAAAGAATATCGTTCTCATATATACATATTATGTTTAAGTTGATTAAACTGTCGATGGATTTACTTCAAACATGTTCCAGTTATAAATCTGGTAAAAATTAAACTTTGATTAACACCTGAAAAAATAGGAGTATCGTAGATCTAGGTAGCTAATTTCCCTATGGAAATTTCTCTACCAGCACGAATTTTCCGTTTTCTCTGGTGCCCCAAATGAAATACTGCTCCGCTATTTATAGGACTTTCTATCGATTAAATAATTTTTCAGAATACTGCCAACTTTTGTTATTATACTTCCCAGGTGCTATGAAAATATAAATTCATAAACACAAAAATTAATTAATCAACAGCTACAACCCATTAGTATTGTTATGCCGAAGTTTTCCCGCAGTACATACATTATTTCTGTCAATCACTGGGGACAAATCATTTCCATGAAAAACTGAGTTGATATTCCAATAATTTGTGTCGCATTTGTTGTTGTTTCATGAAAAAATGAAAACCAGACACTGGTCTATTACTTTTATTTGAGAAATAGATAGATATTTTGTTTGTATTCACTTGTTGATATTGATTTAGTCTATTATGTTGGAAACGCAAATATAAGGTGTTGCAAATTGTATGGGGTAATTTTATTAGCTTGAATCCAATAAACATTTATACAGGGTGTCTGGTAAGTATACGCATACTCTCGGGAGTGTATAGGGGTGGTCAAAATTACCCTAGTTTGTCATAAAAAAAAAATCCTGAAGTGCCCCTTAACGGAAATACAGAGCCCCAGATGGGTACTCAGCGATTTACGTTTTCGGTTCTAACTTTTGATGAAATTGTAATATTTTATTTAGACCACAAAGGCTCATAAAACCATAGATGTTTTATACTATCAGAGAAGTCAGGAACGGACTTGCCACCACACTCGTTGGACCAAAATTTTGACAGGTGTCACTTTATAGAGCTGAAAACTGTATTTTTAAACGCTATGGTCATTCCTCTTTAAAAAAAGGTACTCTACATTTGTTTCGATAAAATCAGCCGTTTTAGAAAAAATTCAGTTTTTGTATAACACGTTTAAATATTAATTTATTTAATTATAAAGTTTATTAACAAGAGCTATTTAAACACAATAATAATGGAATAACTAATAATCACAACTAATAATTTGTATTAAAATAATAAAATTTGGCATTATTACATCTCATTAATGCTTTACATGCATCTAACTTATGGACAAGCACTCGGTAATTGTGTGGAGGCAAAAAGAATTTATTCTGATACATTTCGGTGTCCGGTGAGTATCTACTAATCTCTCGAAAAGGTTTACAGGAAGTCAAAGTAATACTTCGTCGAATACTTCTTTTCCTTGTAACAAAAATATCGAGTGCCAAAGGGGTAGGACTCAGGAGATATACATTGTGGATTGTAACAGAAGCCACCTGCCATATTTTAAAAAAAATTTGGCATAATGCCAGGCCCGGTCTGGTCAGGTTGGAAAGTCGGCAAAACCCGACTTATTTCGGAAGATAGGCCCCCAACCGACTAACGAGGCGTCAAAAGTATAAGAAATTTTTTTTTAAATTCCTGAGATATAGCCACCGTAAATTGAAAAGAAAATAGAAGAACGTACAAATGAAAATTGAATCTTTTGTAGAAATGGGATTTTCCCAGGTCAAAAAAATACAAATACAAATTTAATTATTTTGCCCTATACCCCTATAAACAGTGTACCTACAGGAAAGAAAGAGAGAAATAAATATACAGGCTGTTACAAATTCGCTTCTCACTACAGGGATCTGGGAAACGGTAAGAGGTACGAAGTAGCTTAAATGGGGGCAAAGTTGCGTAATCAGGGGACCAACATTATGCCTCTAAAAAATCAAGGCTAACATGATTAGTTTTTGAAATATTTGAAAAACCCAAATTTTGGAAATCCGTTTTTGTTTCGTTTCAGCCTTGTTTGAGGTGATATTGAAAAAATAACATTTTCTCATGGCCACTTTTTGCCCTCTATCGAATGGCATAATCAATTTTTATATGTAACGTTTCATCTCTCCAGGACCATCATCAACTTCATTTTTTTAAATACGACCCTGGAAATTTTATTACATTTTTTGCAAGCCTTCATGACCCCCAATACTGTACTGCCTCAGCCCGAACCAGATTCAGACGTTTTGTTTCGAAAAATTCATTTTCAGTGTATTCGTTCCAAATTTATCTAAATTTTTTATTTAGATTTCTTTGTTTGCTGAATTATCGTACACTGTAAGCGTCATTAGACCTTGTGAAATCCGTCTAGTTATTTAAACTATTACCACCACGCATTAAAATAATGTGGAGTACAAAGATTGCTAACTGTAAATTGTTAATCAAATATTCAGGACCCTGATATTTGTCCTTTTCAAGATCTAAGCGGACTGTTAACATTAAAACAAGCTTTTTCTACAACGAACATTGCTTGGGATCGACAATATTCCTCAGGATAATACAAAATATGCCGATTGGGGTAAATATAATATCGAAATGGATGAAGGAATCTGCGGAGAAGATAGGACGATCTTAAAAGGAATTAAAATTAGGAATTCCACACGATCAACCAAGATATCTCATCAAATTCTTTTAAGAAAATATATACGAGTATTTTATTATTAGCTCTTGTATTTTTACTTCATTTGAAGCTAATAATTAGCTTAACATCATCCAATTGATTAATTGAAACCTTACCTTACCAACCTTAAGTGAAAATGAGACGCAATAACATTTATCACAACAGAACAAAACAGTGTTGCAAAATCTTCTATTCGAGAACACAACATTTATAGTAATAGTATTTTTCACGTTCAAAATTTAATGCAACTTAATTTTGATGCTTTATTTTGTGCTTAATGTGAGTTAAGTAAGAGTAAAGTTAATTCTTTAAATTCCGTTTGCACCGATAAGCTCGGTATTGCAATAAATCGAATAGTGTTATTTTGACCTCCCCTATACACTGCGAGAGATTAATATTTAGATACTGGACATCCTGTATTTAAGTAATTCTATATTCTGTGCCGTAAGTTCATGAAAAGGGAATCAAAGTGAGCAGGAAAATCCAATTCAGTTCTCATAAAATTTCCCATATAATGTTAAGGTCTACACGCCACTGATCATCGACCTTTGAAATCTAATCTGAAGGTGCCAGGACCGATGCTCCCAGTACTTCTATTTCATGGGTAGCTCGTTTCCAAATCGAAACTGTCGTGACTGACACGACCTGGCATGAATCGTTCCTTCTGTTCATACGACCTAAAACTCTTTATTGTCTTTTTTTGTTGTTTTAAAAGCTCATCTTTATCGTTGTAGGTCCGTCAGAAGGTGCAGCCACGAGACTACGCCGCGAACAAGACAAGAAAAGTAGCTTGGTTCGTATCGAACTGTGGTGCTAGAAACGGCCGTTTAGCGTATGCCCGAGAACTTGCCAAATACATTCCAGTAGACATCTATGGCACCTGCGGGCCCCTCAAATGTCCCAGGTCCGACAAGAAATGCTTCGAGATATTAGATCGCGAGTACAAGTTCTACCTGGCGTTCGAGAACTCGAACTGTCGGGACTACATCACGGAGAAGTTCTATGTGAACGGATTGAGTCAGAACGTGCTTCCCATCGTTATGGGGGCTAGGCCGGAGGATTACCAAAGAAGCGCTCCAGAAGGTAAAGATAACAACGATTCAGGCTATCCTTATATCGGTGGGTCAATTCTTCAAAGAATCCCAGTTTTGCACTAACTACTTATTCGTTACAATAAGTAATTTTACTCTCTGTACGGTGTCCAAAAGTCTGCTAGTCGATATTTTTCTTAATGTCCTCGTATTTAAGAAAATGTATTTACCAAAAAACCTGAATCTCATTCATACAAAACTTTCACATTCACTCAGGGCACGCAACCGAAGCTCGCATCTTCATATTCCAGGAACAAAATAGTAGGCAGTGACTCATTCTCAACATGTAGATCATGCGATGTATAAGGAGTGCGGTGAATACGATTCCATGTGCGTATCATTTTAAAAGGTTCCAAAATTGGTTATATATTCTTCTTCTTCTTCTTCTTCTTATGAGACTTTTCAAGCAGTTTCCTTGTCTAGAACAGTGACAGCTGCGAAAGATCTACTTTTATAATGTTGTGACAAACAGTAAAGCGACACAAAATTAATAAACCCACTAAAATTACTAAAAGTACATCACCGAATAATATATGTCAGTCATCTACATCATCATCATCTACACGGTCGATAGCCGCACGGTTTAAGGCGTCAGTACTTAAATCGATGTGTCGATCTGCCCGGGTTTCGAATCCCGCGGCCGGTAGACCGTAGATTAGCTATGCTTGTACGAAGGATTGGCACCCTCTGTGCAGGTATGGTAGGGTGGAAGAATGTTGGCTTGGGTCAATGTGAGAGATTGACACCGGTTGGAATTTGACCACCCCCCTAATTAATGAGTTTCTCCAGGTTTCCCTCATTCCTGCACTGAATAGGGCCTACCAACATAAGTCGTTCCTGGGCGCAAATGCGGCCTGCGTAATAATTCGCCTCTTCTCCCGCACAAGTCTCCGACTTCTGGGCTAATTCTCGTAGTTAGAATGAGAAGTAGAGATATTATTATTATTATTATTTCTTTTTTTTTGGTAACAACCGAAAGTTCCAAATGTACTTGCATATTCTGAATATACTTATTATCGAAACACTATGCTAAATGAACGATACATTAAAATTTCGATGCTTTATATGTATTAATATTCAACATTCATTCAACTATAGCTTCTGATTTACATTTTTAAAACATTTTTCAAGCCGAGCTTCGGATCTCATTTCAAAAATCTTCGAAGGCAATGATCATCAGTCTTAATAAGTTGCCATTCCTGTTCTCTTCCCATTTACAACATGAAGTGGTGGCAGATTTAACAAATCTTCAGTAGCTGTTGAAAACCACTATACCATAAAAAGCCTAGATCTCACTATCACGGGACACCTCCAATTTCGATTTTAGTTTCCAGGATTAGCATCGACTAGCAAATAGCGCTCATGAGCTTTATCTATTTTTTATATACGCTAATTAAAGTAATACAGACCCCAAAAACTTAATCTGCATGAAAAACTAAACCTCATCTAGATTTCTTCTGTTTATGAAAGATACACGACTGTCTTATCCGAATTGACCTACTACAATGCTCAGTTTTGGCTTGCTTTCCAACTCGTGTCGTTATGATGGTGTCTACCCCCATCATGAAGTGTTATTTTGATCTCTACCACGAACTGCTGCTAAATTTCTGAGGTATTCTCAAAAGCCCAATATCTAAAAATGCATAACTTTGCTTGAGCGTACGGACACCCTGGTCTTTTTGGGTTAGATCGATTTAAATAAAACTGGACTTCTTTTGCAGGGTCTTATATCCATGTGGACGAGTTCGCTGGTCCCGAAGAGTTAGCGGCTTACCTTCATAGATTAGACAAAGACAACGCGCTCTACAACTCCTACTTCAAGTGGAAGGGAACCGGGGAATTCATAAACACTTACTTCTGGTGCAGGCTGTGTGCCATGTTGCATTCCCCGGTCCTTCCCAGGCACTACGAGGACGTGAACGACTGGTGGAGAGGTCCGGGAGTGTGCACATCAAAATCTTGGCGCAACACTGAGTTCGTGTAGACGCACATCGTACTTATTTAAACTAAGTCATTTTATTGTTAATTTGTTGTTAAGTGTAAATTATTAATGATAATTTATTAAGTTTTTATTATACATATGCGTTTTATTTGCTTCATCCAGGTTGAAATGGGTAAACCAAAAATTATATCAGATAACGGTAAACAGTAAACAATTTTCTTGACAATTGAAAAAGTCTATGAAGCGTGTCGTCTTGTTTAAATTTGAATTCCATTAACTTAAGGATGAGTTGGATCAGATACAGTGGCGGCTCCTGATTTCCATACCAGAGAGGGCGGAATAATTTAGGTACAAAGTATTGAAAAAAAAATCAAATATAATTGAGTACCTAGTTTTATTTTAAGTACCTACTATTGAATATATATAGGGAAAATGTGCTCAACATTATTTTTCCAGTCCATTCTGCTGCTTTTGTCCGAAATAAACTTTTCAATTATTTTTTCATTGAAGTTTGGTATTTCTGGCACCATTAATTTTTCAATAAATAGCATTACAAGTGCTGTTAGACTGTCTGACCACATGTAAAAAAATTACGTTTAATAAGAAAAAAGCAGTGAATATAGCTATTATTTGGTTACAGACAGACTAAACAGAGCTCAAAACATAGTAAATATACGCTACTCCCACTATGTGTTTCAATGCTGCACGATGGTAACCATGACCACCGTTGTAAATACTTTACAGATTTACGGGCGAGCTACGAGGAGCCCACGTAGTGTTTTCCAAATGAAATTTACAAGTCGTGTTAAATTAACAAACTTAACATCTCCTTTTTAATGTATTTCATAAATCTAATATTTTCAGTTATCTAGATAATATTGTAAATTAAATTTTAAATTATTTTTTTTTTATTATAAAAATATATGGGGGGGGTCGACGCCCCCAATATCTAAGCAAATAGTCACATTAAGATTGAACGTCAGCAGAATTACAATGTAAAATATTAAATAAAGTCAAACAATGTTCTTTGGTATCGAAGAACATTTTGTCTTTTTTTTTGTTTCAATTTGGTGTACGTGAATGTGTACAAATATGGTGCACGAGAGTTTCTACAATGAGGTATGCTTACATTTAAGGCTCCTCAATAATATTGGGCCCTATCTGTTTCAAAACCAAACATGATGTCATCGAGTATTGTTAGTTTATATAACCAATGATGTTTAAACTTTTTAAACATTTCCTTATGTCAAGATTCGACCCGATATTTAATATTAAACATACTTAAAATACAATTTTAAATACTAAGTAATTTATATTTAAAATAATTTGCCAAAGAAGAATTTTGTTTTTAAGTATTTTAAAATACTTTCGTATTAGTATTTTGTAATTTGTATTTTAAATGCATTTTGAAAGTATTTTGCCCAGCTCTGTGAAAGAGTAGACATACAGGAATATAAGGGGCAAATTGTTACTTAAACCGTTATAATGTAATCTTGAGAAGCGCAGACCGTGCGAGCGAGGGACATTTTTTACATCAGCCATGACAGCAGCACTCCTAGTTGATATACAGGGTGTTTGGTAAGTCGATGCATTCCTTGAAGGAGGTTATAGTACAAGTGATTAGTGATATATTTCCTTAATATACCATATTCCAAAAGCGCTTACATTAGTTTCTGATCTACAGCGTGTTAAAGGTTTAATAAAAAAAATGCAAATTTAAAAATATTGCGGAAACCGCTCAGAATATTTAAATGAAATTTTACAGACTTTGACAGTTAACAACAATACATGTTTCACGATGAAAATATTGTTTTTCGTTTCACCAGTGGCGTGCGCATAGGCCCGTCTGTATATTTTTAAAGAAAAAAATTATACATAACTGAGTTTTCTCAAAATAAAAATAATTTTTAAATTGCTTGTTCAATTTTGAAGAGAAAAGGTATCTTCTTTGTTTTTCTTATGACGCACTGTTTTCGAGTAAAAAAATTAAAATCGATTTATTGCATGGCGTAATCCGGTTTCAATAATTTGAAAGATAGCAGAAATTATGCACTTTAGTTTTTTGTACCTACCAATTTTATTACAACACGTTGTTACTAAAGTGACAGCTATTATTAATTTTGTCAAGCAATAAGAAAATCGAGTGCACAGCCAATCTGCCAATTTTTGTTTAAGATAGTGAATAGTGAATCTAACAACTGATTAATTTTTTTAGACTGATGTTAACTGTGAAGAGTAACAATTTTTTGTAATAAAATTGGTACAAAAAAAAACTGAGTGCGCAATTTCTGTTATTTTTCAAATTATTGAAACCAGATTACGCCATGCAATAAATCGGTTTTAATTTATTTACTCGAAAACGGTGCGTTATAAGAAAAACAGTCGAGATACCTTTTCTCTTCCAAATTGAACAAGAAATTCAAAAATAATTTTTATTTTAAGAAAAATCAGTGCTGTAGCATTTTTTTTTATTAAAAATATTCAGAGATGTGCCTGTGCGCATGCCACTGGTGAAACTGGAAACAATATTTTTATCGTAAAACGTGTATTGTTGTTAACTGTCAAAGCCTGTAAAGTTTCATTAAAATATTCCGAGCGGTTTCCGCGATATTTTTGAATTTACAGTTTTTTATTAAAACTTTAACACCCTGTAGATCAGAAACTAAGCATTTTCAGAATATGGTATATTAACAAAATATATCACAAATCATTTGTACTTTATAGTACATAACCTTCTCCAAGGAATGCATCGAGTTACCAAACACCCTGTATATTTATAACGAAATTTGTCAGCATACCTCAACATGTGTACTTTCGAATAAAACAAATCTGGATAAAATCGAACAGACAGTTTTTGAGATAATAATTTCTAAAATTCATCCATATTGCCACTGTCTACTAGGATGTTCCTCCTTAACGATGAATGACAACTGGAAAGTCAGGTGAAACTTTGATATAGATTTTTTTCAATCATACTCAAATTTAATAAAGTGAGGTTATGTTATGAATCCCTTTGAATGCCCTTTGTAACGAGAACTAATATTAGTGCATGATATTATAATAAAAACTAAGCCTATGTACTTATAGTGGAATGATAAATTGCGGAATATTTTTAATTAGACACTTTAGGTAATAAGCCCTGAAAATTTTTCAAACAACTTTATTCTTCTTCAACACAATATTTGTACAATGCTGCAAGCCTGTCACAACAAACATTGCCTAATACTTTATGATATGTGAACACCACAGAATTTCAGAGTATAATACTTGTTACATTTATCGGGAATATATCACACCCCTTAAATACCATTAATTCGAGAAGTGATATGACACCTTGTACTTTTCAATACATATTTCGTGTGCAACTACAAAAACTAAGGTTAATATCAGCCTTGGAATTCGAGTATACTTATGCTCCCTCGCAATTACGAATAATAGGCTCCGTTGTGGTTCCCAAAATTAGTCCTTTCGTTCACTGGGGAGGAACCTAGAGGTGGGTAAGTAAAAAGGCGGTTTTTAATCAGTTTATTGGTACACGCGTACTGCGATTTAGCAAATCTGACAACATTAACAAAATAAATATCCAGCTCAGCTAACGGACTAAACATAACAAACACGATGTGTTATAATGATATGGATTTAGGTTATATATGATTTGTTACATCACTACTGATTATGGTAGACAAGCAATTGATGTCAATGAGCTCGGCGATTATATGAACGTTTTGATTGTTTATCAACTACTAGTGTCCTACAAGGTGCGGAACCTAGCCCGAAAGGGATCGCTATGTGATTTCGGTGATATTTAGATTTTTAGGATAATTCACACGTTCGTAAGTTATAATTTTACTAGGATCTAATTAAAAAAAAAATAAGGTTATTATCACTCTGTGGGCAGTAATTCTGGAACGCTTTGTATATGTATATATTAATACATACGGGGAGAGCCAATTTTGATATTTCTCTGAGCTATTTCTCTAGGAAATAAACAAAATATTGATATTCCCAGTTTAACATGTTTCAATATCGTGACTCGTTTAACATATTAATTTTTGAGCGAATCAAATCGATAGCCAATTTTAATTCATTTTTTTATATGCACTTTAATTCTTGTGCACATCGCCACTGTAATATTCATGTATTACAAATACATAAATTGTAGGCAACCTACAGTGTATGTGAAGGGAGATAGTATTTGGAGACAGCATTTCTAACTTTGAATTTGAATGTTTTTTATCGTTGGAAGCCATCAAGAGGTTGCGTTGGTGCAGGTCTGTTGTCTAATTAGCGACAATTATTCAGATAAAAGTGACAACGAAGGTGGTATATTAAGAACTGAGAGACCCGCAAGATATATCTATTTTATTTCTCGTCCAATTTTGACCATTACAAGTTATATTTAAACAGAAAACAATTCGTTATTAAATTCCAAACGAACTTCGTATTCTCAGGTTCACAAAGTTAAAAGTGGCAGGTTACACATTTAAGAGATTATACGAGCTTTGAACGCCAATTCGCTAATATCGGACGGAAACAAATTCAGAGAAGTGTTATAAAAATCATGGGAGTAAATAACCTTTATTTTTGTGTATATCATTTATCATTATTGACTACTGCTCGAGTTTTTTTGCTAGGTTTCTTGTTAAGTATGTTTGTGTGGCGAACACCCACTCAACAAAAGTAACTCGCGGCGAGTGGTGAGGAATTATACACGAGCCGCAACTAAAGCACACTGTTCTTTGAGGTTACACTAGCTTGTTCAACGGCGGGATATGAAAATTACTAAAAAAAAGGTTAAAAAAAAAATAGGTTTTAACGACGGAATTTAAAAAAATCTGTCTGTATAAATATGACCCCTACTTAAACCCTGTATATTTTATTATTTGCTCTGGTATAGTTACTATATTATGAAGGTATTAAGCTAATTTCATAAAAAAACCTATCAAATAAGGTCCAACAATGTGTTTCAATACCAAACTCTTAAAATCCGGGCGAATTAACCCAAAGTTTTAATTGCCAGTGTTGCGAGAAACAACTACTCTTGCGAATTATACTCGCAACACCTAGTGCAACAGCTAGGATCGTTAATCAGTCTGTGTAAATTTCAGATTTTTAAGTTGCAAAATAAAAAAATTAACAAAAAACCAAAAAAAATGGTAACTATGTAACTTATCGATTTTGTTTCTGAGGAAATTTGCTACAAGGATAGGCTTTTGCGAAAGCTCACAATTTTTTTTTTAAATTGCAGAATTAGTGAAGAATAAATTGAACACCATGCCCAAGTCAAGATATCGAAATTCAGTAAAAAAGGATCAAAAGGTGAATTATCCCGCGTCTTTGTAAATTTCAAATTTTTAAGTTGCAAAATTAAAAAATTATTAACAAAAAACCAAAAAAAACGGTAACTAGGGTCCTTATCTCGGCGGTTTTTTAATATTTCCTTCCTTTATCCATTTGGCATATTTTGAAGGCGATTTCTTAATATCTTCCGACTGAAATTTCACTTTTCCGGGCACCAAAAACGCAAATTTTTGCTGTGGGAGAGACACAGAATCCGACGGGAACGCCCACCGACGGACGTTTTGTGGGTCGATTTCAAATGCTACATGATTTTTCCAAGAACCCATCGAGGGTTTACTCAGCTTCTACGCGCGAGTTTCGACCTTTCTTCGTCTCCACGGGACTTTTTCGAAGGCTATTTTTTACTTTTTAACGCCGAAATTTGCTCTTTAAAAAGGTTCTGCACCTTGCATCTCTCTTGCGGTACCCAATATTTTCGTAAAGCCCGGATTATTTCACCCAAAACGCTATTTACGCGGCATCACATGGATACTGCCGGCACCCGTGCTTTGTTCCGAGAGGGAACCGAAACTTTTCTCTTTGCGTACGAGTAGCTCCCGCAACCCGGCGACGTCTCCTTTCCGCTACCGGGACGCTTTCTGATGCCGCGTCGCAACGGTCTCTCTCTTCTATATCGCCCCCAACCTTTATTAGGTCAAATGTAACAAAATATAAGACGAGATTAAGAATATTTTTATACAAACTGTCGCTGCGGTAGAAACGTCAGAATTGTCAAATCTGAATTTTCCGATTCCGATGTTCCCTGCGGCGCCAGTCCGGCGATGGGTGATTATTTTTATGTTTTATACCGTTCCGAGTCCTTCGCGGATGATTTTACGGCAAAAAAATGAAATTTTTAACATTGCGAAAATGTTTGTTTACTTCGGCTATGAACAGGAATTTAAATAGTAATACGAACAAACTCTCGTAATGATGGCTCAGTGGTAAAAGTGTTGCGTTGCAACCCGGAGGTCGACGGTTCGAATCTCGCACGGGATCCCTATGATTTTTTTTTACTTATTACCATATTTTACCTTCATTATGGAGTTTTCTTTTAAAATCTTTCCATAAGAAGAAAAATATAACTTTTCAAATAGGCTTTTCTGCACAGGATGTCTAAAAATATTGTGTTGCACTTCGAACGGTCCAGACATAATTATGAAGTTACAATGTTGATGACTTTTATATAAAGGGTGTTCCAAAAAATGTTACATTTACCAATCGGCGAGGAAAGCACTGCGGAGCCTGGGGGCCGAAGGCCCGAGAGAAAGGTCAACTACGTGTCAGCGGTGTTTGCTGACCTTTCTAGTAAACTCTTATAAAAGTCGTTGCACCTGCCCGGAAAAACCCTATATATCTTAAACGAATCAAGATATCGAGATATACATAGTTTTCACCGTTCAATTTTTTTGAAAATTGAGTCTGAGACTCCTGTTTATCTCCTTGGAAATCACGAGTAATTTTCCAAAATAGTCCAGATTGGCTCTCCCGGTACATTTAGTAAATTTCCAGAATTTAACGAAATATACAAAAAACACGTTTGTTAGTAACCAGGAAAAATTGAAAAGTTGGCTCCTAATTCAAAACAAATGAAGTAGAGAGTAAACAAACCACTATATTTATCTTCAAATACTATTGGGATTAGTTCACCTCACACGAGATAATCTTGGACTCGAATCGTAACCCTAAACCCGTACCTTTGGAATAACGTCATTATTCTAAGATCATTCGAATGCGCTAATACTGTCAATGCAAATACTCAACAATTTCGACAAGTCTTACTCCGTACCGGTCCCGAATTACCCAACAACATTCCATATAACCCAAAACTCATTGACTGATATGAGTCGCTCACTAACGATGATCGGCTGGGGGAGGGGGCTGATTAACTCTACCTGGAGTGTCCTGATTCAACTGAGAAGCCGTGACGCTCCTCGTCTGAAGCGTGGAAGTCGGCGGCTCGTCCAACAGCTGCCGCAGACGCTGCAACTGGGCCTCCAGCTGCCGATTGTGATCCTCGAGGATCTGCATTCTTGCCTCCAGCCTTCCCTTGTGCTGCCTCAGTAGCCTAGCCTCGGCGAGGACGTCGTGTTGGGGCTGCGGGGGGTGGGGAGTCGTTCCCCTCTGCAATTGTTCGTACTCTTGCAGCAACGCCTGGTTCTCAGCCTCTAGTTCTCTAATCATTTCCTGCAGTTCGGCTCTTTGCTCTTCGTCGATGACAAGCATGAGTTGGCCTGGACTTGCAGGAGCGCCTTCTATGGATTGACAATAGTCAGCGATCAGTCTGTGTTCGTCTTCTGGAGATGCCGCACGAAGTTCCACTTCCGCTAATCTGCTAGCGTAGATTTCTAACCTGAAATTATGTCGAGTATAAGTGAGATGTAATAATAATAATAATAGCAGCGCTATATCTATGAATTGAGCCTGCTACTTGATGTCTAGGCTTTCAAACTGGCAGAAAGTGACCTGCTATTTCGCAGGTACTATGTAAGCAAAACCTGCACTGCCACTAAGCGAATAATAATGTTGAAATATTTTCCTTAATTTTGTGAAAAACCGCGGAAAACATGGGCAGCCACGTAAACATCAGAATGAACCTTTCCTGTTTTATCAAGAATTTTGTAAAAATTCTCATAGTCCAGTCAAATTAGATTTTTACGTCCCAAAAAGTTCAGTAAGCAGAGACACGTAAAAAGTTAGGAAAAGTATTGTTGAATTGAATGAACTACTTTACCCCAGCTGAATGTTAGGACTTCATTTTCAAAATGGCCTCCACAGTTCACAAAAAAGTTTTTTTTGATAAAAAAAATGAACATTTTAGAAAAATATGTTTTAGACAAAAGTTGTAGAACTTTTTATAACTAAAGTTTTGAGCTCAGCCCGATGTGAATTGATAAATAAATGTAGTTATTGCAAAAAAACGGCTAAAAATCGAATTTTTTTTAAACTTCTATATCTTTAAAACAAAAAAAGATTTTTTCACGAAACATTCAGAATATGTAGTCACTGGCAAATAGAATAAATGCATTTTTGTAAAATTGTAAAATAGTTGATAGATTTTGCAAAAATTTTATTTTTCGAAAAAAAGACATTTTTTTCTAGTTTCAATAAATCATAATAATAATGCACCCATCTTGGGTTTAAAATTTTCTCTAAGAGTTGTACTTTCCTGTGCAAATTGTGCGTGTATTGCAAAATAATTGGAAATATGCGAAAAATCTACCGAAATTTTGACTTCTTTTCTTGTCGAAAATCATAGATCTTTTTCTTATCGCTGCAATTTAATCAGAATGGCATTATTACCATTTGAGAGCTCACAGTTTTTCACGAATTTAAAGAAGAAAATATCCTATGACCAACAGGAGCTGAGAAAAAATTTGTTTTTCAAAAAATCGCCGTGACCTCATTTATTAATATTAAGGTCTAAAATTTACACATGTTATAGTTGAATCCTTTTATATCAATATAAAACATAGTCCGCAATGATTGACCCCCTCGTTCAACCGTTCAAAATTGAGCAGGCATGCTGAGCACTTACTGAGAACGCTGAGTTAGTCTTTCTCACCCCGCCACTCCCATCAATGTGTCGAATGGAGCAAGCATTTTACGGGGTCCAATAAAATTTAGTTTACTGTAATAAAAGGGGGGTCAATCATTGTGGACTATATTTTATGTTGAAGTAAAACTGTTCAACTACAACGTGTACAAATTTCAGACCTTAATGTTAAGGATGGATGAGAGTTGAGATGAATGGAGATGGATAAAAGGATGAGATCGTAGCGATTTTTTTGAAAAACATTTTCTCTTTCTCGCCTCTTGTTGGTCATAGGCCATTATTCTTTTTTAAATTTGTGAAAAAATGTCAGCACAAAAAGAAATCAAAGTTTCGATAGATTTACAATTTACACAGGAAAGTACAACTCTTGGAGAAAATTTTAAGCCCAAGATGGGTCACAAAAAACTCATTTTTGCAAAAAGTATAAAATATTTTGCAATTTTACAAAAATGCACTTATTCTACTTGACAAGAACTACATATTCGTAAAGTTTCGTAAAAAAACCTTTTTTCATTTTAAAGATATAGAAGTTTTTAAAAAATGTGATTTTTAGCCGTTTTTTGGCCTTCTATCTATCAAAGTAGGCCGATTCATACACAAATGGAAATTATAATATAAATTTCAATTCTAACCAACTTTCCTTAATAACATATTTCTGTATTGTTAAAAACAAAGGCAGTTCATTCTTGAACAATTTTTATATTTAGTGATTTTCTGATCACCCTGTACAAGCAAGATAAAAATTCTCCATGCCAACCGCATTTTAAAAACAAGCAAAAATTTTAATCAAGAATACCTTTTTCTAGTAAAATGAAAAATAAAAATATTTCCCCCGTTTTCCGGTCTAACCGTGGATATACTGTACAGGGTGTTGCGCTTAAATGTGATACAAGTTGTAGCTTCTTTGTTTTTTGACCGATTTAAAAAATTTTTTTAGAATGTAGGATAAAAAACTAACTGTAATGCTGGTGTTTTATTAACGCAATTCACAGCCAATTAGGACGCGTTTTTTGACGTCAAAACAGCTAATTGGTATCAGCGATTTTTTTTCCAAAAAAACAGATTACATATTCTCATTCAGCATCCCTTAAACTGTCTTATCGCCAAGTTTCATCAAAATCGATACATCTTCAAAGGAGCACTAATTGGTCATATATTGCAGTAATAAAAAACAGCAGTATCACAGTTTTTTTAACCCTATATTCCATAAAAAAAATTGTTAAATCAGCCAAAAAAAAAAAAAGAAGTTACAGACTTGTATTACTTTCGTGACATCATGGAGTGCTTGCCTGAAGATGTATCGAATTTGATGAAACTTGGTGGTATGACGTTTTAAGCGATGCTGAATGAGAATACGTAATCTGTTTTCTGGAAAAAAAATCGCGTTCTAGTTGGCCATGAATTGCATTAATAGAAACAACAGCATTACAGTTAGATAGAGTTTTTTTTAGAGATGGGAAATTCCCGGGAAGATATTTTTTGGAAATATTCCCAAAATATATTTCGGGAATGTTGCCAAAAGTTTCCCGTGAATAACTCCTGGGAATATTTTCTTGGAAACTTTCCATGGAAATATTTCCAAGGGAAGTTGCCCAGAAATATTTCCCACCACTTGCAGAGTGTTTTTTGTTTTTTTGTTTTTTTGAACATGTGTAAATACTTATTGCAAATTGTGGCAACATTAATGATTATAATTAATTATATTAGACTTATTTTTTGGCTTTGCATGTAGGCTTTGCAGGAAATTCAGAAATTGTTTCAACATGTATTTACAGCAATTATTATTTGTACTTATTTTTTTAGTAACTTTAACTTGCCAACTACAGATTTAAAAAAAATGTACAAATAACACGAAAAGACACTAATGATTCATTGATGCACAAAAAATACAAAAATCGAAAATGCCTTTAACATATAACCTCAATACAACAATTCCAAAGGTGTTATAATTTGGCGGGAAATTCAAAATATGAAAATGTTCCTTGAACAGGATTCTTCCCTTCCCGGAAAGTTTTCTCTAGTTTTCTTTACCCCACATTCCAAAATAAAATTTGTTGAAATCAGCCAAAAAAAAAGGAAGTTACAGGCTTGTATCATATTTAAGCGCGACACCCTGTATATGACGGAAATTGATTTTGGAATATTTCGAAAAAAACTATTTTTTTATACAAATTTTGCAAAAACATGAAAATTCGATATTTATCTTTAAATGCGTACCGTTTTTTCAAATTCGTGTTTTTTCCATTCTTCTCAAGTCACAGGAACTACACGTTTTAAATAAGAAAATTTTTGCATTTTGCTGCAGAAGTCGTGCCGCAACCTTGCTGTCTCTCTACTTGCTCTCTACCACAGCTCCGCCATTTTGACATTGAATGAATTAAAAAAATAATTTTTCTATACTTAAACTTAAAAAATTCCTCAAAATTGACTCATTTTTCCTCCTTCTAATTAACTTCGCCCTAACAACTTTAAAATAAAACGAATTTACAATAACTATTAACATTAAAATGTTTAATTTGAAGAAAAATTACCTTGAATGCATATCGTTATGTTGAGGCGAGGCGACGGGGCTCTCCAACTCGTCCCCTTCTAACACCGATCTAACGGGCAAATAACCCATCCGGGGGTGCTTCATAAAGTACCTCTTGCTCTTAAACTTGTTCTTCAGGGCCTTCGTAAAATCCCTCATATCCTCCACGGACGTCGTGGTGGCACAATACTCGTGCATCGGATGACTCAATTTATGCCCCTTGGTCAACCTGCCGGCAAAGAAGCAGTTCTGACACATATCGAAATTGAAACACTTCAAACAGCGGTACCGCAGCCCGATAATTGGGTACTGCTTGCAGGAGTTGCACTTAGCTTGGTGTTTGGCAATCTCGGCTGCCGCCAAACGATGCAGTACGGGCAGCCACACCAACGACTGCGGTTCCTGTTTGAGCCAGGCCAGAAAATGGGCGGCTTCTAATTCTTCTCTTTCCCCCAAGCAGCTGCGAACGCTCGGTTCTATGTTGGAACCGCCGAATGCAGCCACTTCTCCCAGTTGCCGCGGAACTTGGAGTATATCGTGGAGGAGCAGTCCTAGTTTTCTTTGATCTGCCTTTTGTTGGGGATCGGCTATCAGGCGGAAGAGATAGCGGTATTTATCCTCCAAATGACCCTTTGATAGTATTGTTAAACCCACCTAAAAATGTTAAACGATCATTGTAAAATTTCCATAAATTATTAAAATAGAATTAAATCTATGATTTACTTCAATCAATTTAAGTCAATCAGACAACTGCGCAAAATGGCATTACACAATAAAATTTTGCATTATGTACAAATTTTCTTTTAGAATTTTGCTCTAATAAAAATATATGCACATTTGAGATAAGAATTAAATTTTAAAAAAGAAAGTTAATTTTACAAAACCATAAAAAGACATATCAAGTTTCCAATTCAAAGAAATTTCATGTTTCAACCTCAAAATTTCGAATTCATATTAGATATTTTGAGTTCACTCGAAATTTTGATATTTTGCAAATAACTATTTTAGTTTTTAACTATGACAGCCACACAAAAAAAATTGTCTGTACTTTTCATGCGACATATGTTATCCATAGTATTTTTGCCTCCTGATCACGAATCCGATGTCAGAATTGAGCTATCACATCACAGGAATTTCCTAACCTCAAAAAACAGGTCAAAAACAGCAAAAATCCACAAATAATTTTTTTTTTCTATATTCAAATGTTCATTTATATGGTTAAGACCCCGCCGAACGTGAATTCGCGGTGAAAATTGATGGTTCTTTTCTAACCTCAAAAAAACAGGTCAATTAAGATCAAATATCACGAATTTTCAAAAAATAATTTTGCAAAATTCAAGATGGCGGATCAAAGATGGTCGAACAAATCAAAAAATAACCCATTCGCGTTAAATTTGGTATACGGGGAATTTCGGGGTCGCTGATCACGGATCCGAGGTTAATTTTGCAAAATTCAAGATGGCGGATCAAAGATGGCCAAACAAATTTTCAAAAGAAAACATTCGCGCCAAATTTCGTATACGGGGGTTTTCGGGGTCGCTGATCACTGATCCGAGGTCAATTTTGCAAAATTCAAGATGGCGGATCTAAGGTGGCCGACCAAATTTTAAAAAAATAATACATTCGCGTCAAATATGGTATACGGAGGTTTTCAGGTTCGCTGATTACAAATTCGAGGTCAGAACTGCGAAATTCATTTTGTAATATTTTTGTTTGCTTTATAAGCTGAGTACTCAATCATGTTTTAACCTTCTTCCTTAAATCTTCTTAACTGATTTAATGCGCTCAGAAACAAAAAAAAAGATGAGTCTCTGCTTGTTTATCGCATACATATTATTTACCTACATATGTACAAATGTATGTAATAGGTATGTGTAATAAAGTTCATATTTTTTGCAAAATTGGTGAGTTTGGGCGTTATTTCGATTAACCGTGTTTTTGATTATCCAGCAAATCAGCAATACATTTTTATAGATTTTATTACAATTTGTCTAAATATGCACAAATAACAGACTTTCTTCCATTTTAACTCAGATTTTCTATAAAATGGACTTTGAAGTTCAAATTACTCTTTGTTATAAAGAAATTTGTAATTTAATCGTAAATTAAGTAATTTGAACTTCAAACTAATTCCATTTTATAGAAAATCTGCGTTAAAATGGAGCAAAGTCTGTTATTTGTGCATATTTAGACAAACTGTAATAAAATCTATAAAAATGTATTGTTAGTTGCCTATTTGTTATAGAGTCTTCTTAAAAGATCATAAAGTTATTTGTTCCAATATTTAAAATGGTACAATGTGTTTATGTGTATTCAATGCTAAATTTGTGTGATATTATGAAAAAACCTGTACGAATCAAGAAAGTTACAATTTAACAACAATGCATGCTGTAGTACCTGCGTATATTTAATATAATAATTATATACGAGTTTGCACAAATACAAAACATACTAGTATAGGCTTTCCGAAGTCAGTTGAACATGCATAAAAACGTCTGGCAATAAAATTTAATGAGTTTCATAGGCGTCCCTAAAAAAATTTTCTGCTAAAGGTAAAAAATTATAATAATTTGTATTTAATGTGTAGAAAATTTCTATTTTATGTTCATTTGGCCAACAACATATTTGTTCTACAAACGTCAAAAAATGACAAGGTTTGCGCATTGACAACAATATGCGAAGTGACACTTTTTTTCGGATTCTTACGTTACCATGACACCGTGCGCGAAATACTTAGTAAATTTTTTAATATCTACGTTTTCCTTAGCATTAAGTGTTGATTTTAGCATAGAATATACTGCCCATAATGTGGAAGGCTTCACCTTCTTGGATCTTTCCGCAAAATATGCTAACAGCACATTTTCGGATGCTTTTCTTGCTTTATTTGTTTCACACCACTCCTTAAATTGCCGATATGCATTTTCATACTGGCGCTTCGATTTTTCCGGTAAAAGATTTGAAGTTACCAAATTGGCCGCATCTGCCAAATTAGGTGGGGTACTACTTAGTTCATCGTCACTAGCAATTTCCATTATTTTAAATAATATCTGGCACTTAAAAATTGAAGATGCGAGAACAAACGTCACTTTAAAATAATTATTATTGTTGTCAACAACAGCCACTTTGTATGTGAAAATTTGCTTAGGAAAGACATTTTAAGCCAGCTCAACACTATTTTCTATAATAAATTAGGCATTTATAAAATAAATAAAATAAATTATAAAATATTTATAATATTTTTAAGAGATAGATTTTGACGTTTGTAGAAAAAATATTGTTTGCATCTCGTGCGCGAACTACTTTGGTGGTCTCGAATAATTTTTAACTCGGCTTCGCCTCATTAAAAAATTCAATTCTCGATCACCAAAGTAGCATTTCGCGCATTAGATACAAAAATAACTATTAATTATTAATGTCCTGAAACAATTTTATTATATTGGTGGTCAATTTCGTTTTGTTCCGTTTCAAAAGGTCTCCAAAATGCCATGTTGTGATAATATTAGTAAACAAAAAATCCCTCTTATTTCTCCCTTTCACAATTGTAATATGAATGATTAATAATAGAAGGTGCCTATAATAAATTAAAATTACCTGAATCACATCAAATTCCGCATTGATGCACTGCACTGCTGGACAATTTATCAACCACTTGTCATCTGCTTGATTTATTGCCCAGTAGCGCAATGCAACTGTGATCGTTTTCCTTTGCCCGCATTCGCATTCTTCAACTGAGCGTATTCATTTCTATCACCTCCACGTTTAGTTCGACCAGACCTGTTTATGGATATGGCTAAATAAATATGGGAACAAGTTTTTCAAATATTTCAATGCCGAGTTGCTGCATTAGCGACCGAACCTGGTACATACTATCAATCTGTTGGTTCTTCAATTGAGATCGGAAAGACTATACAACTAACACCATAATATGCATATTATGCATTTTTCATTAATGCAGCTGTAAAAAGTATACATTACCTTAAAACTAAGTACTCTTATTTGTCCTGTGCGTTGACTATCGTACACATTCAACAACCAATTCAAAGCCAAATCGACACATAACGGTATGTCCACCAGAGTTGGCTCTAAAGCCGCTATATTCCCATAGATCGCCCTAAGTACCAACACCATATCGGCTACATCTAATATCTTGTCGTTTTGTGCGCGTAGACCGTGCAAATCGAACGCCTCGGAAGCCGCGTTAATCGTGACTAAGTCGAGGCAGAGCTTCTTCTGGATGGCGCGTAGTTTTAAGGCAGTTCTGTAGGCTGAGAAACGTACTTCGTTTAGTTGGAGGAGGCAGACGGCTAACTCTAGCATGTGAGGGTGGTCCCAATGGGTGGTTTCAGTGCTGTGGTTTATGTAGTAGGGGACTTTGTTGGGGGTGATAGCGCGTTCCCATGGCGGCTGGACGCTTGAGGGACCTGGGGATATTTCCCCTGAAATAAAAAAACAAAAATTTAAGAAAAGGGAAACTGATTTAGTATCTATATGTATCTTTTTTAATTGTAGTAGAGTTTAATTTTGTATACAGGCTTCACGATTAATGTCCAAATGGGTGACCATAAGAAAAAAAAAACAAATGCAAAACTGTGCAAAAATGCTTCATTTTCTCCTAGTACAGTTTTTAAGAAAACAGGTTTCTTCTGCCATATTGTAAAAACATCATTTTTGAATGATTACCGTTTTTAAGTTACATTACTTTTACTGAGCACTTTATTACAACTAAAATAATTCTAGAATCACTTGTTTCACAAAAAACATACAAAATTTATCAATGTAAAAATTTTGCATTTTTTTTCAGGAATATGCCTCATGTTAATCTAACAAAATGCAAATATCTACTAAAATGACTTTCACACTTTTCATGATGTTATATTTGTGTTTTTAGAAAGAAAAACTATCCTTTTTTGTTTTTTTGTGAAATAAGCAGTTCTGTAATTAATTATTTTAAATAAATTCATAAGCTCGGTAATAATAATGTAGTATTAAAAATTAATTAGAAATAACAATGTAAGTTTAATAAAATAAACACTTAAAAAAGGTCTATTTTTTTTTAAATAAAATTTTTCTTCAAAATACCACTAAAAATTACAAATAATTATTGAATTTCTCAAATATTCAGTGACGTTGCATTTCTGGGGTCTTTGGCGATAGTAACTCCATATGTTTCCATCCAAATAAAATAATTAACCCAAATTCCAACATTCTACTTCAAATGCCTTTAGAAATATTTTACAAAATGTAAATCTAAAAAACAAAGCACTTTTGCACACACCATCAAACACCTTTTTTTTCTTTAGACCAGCCGAATTTTAAGTTTAGCCGATTAATACTGAAACACCCTGTATATTTTATTAAACTAAATATTTGACTTGTGTAATTAATATTTAAGATTTATATTACATGGTATATTTATTCCTATCTTATAATTTTTTTTAAGTACCATTAGATAAATAAAATTTAATAACATTTAAAATACTGAAACACCCTGTATATTTTATTAAACTAAATATTTGACTCTTGTAATTAATATTTAAGATTTATATTACATGGTCTATTTATTCCTATCTTATAATTTTTTTTAAGTACCATTAGATAAATAAAATTTAATAACATTTAAAATCAAATATAACAGCTTAAGCTCTATTCATACATAAATTTCACCTTTTTTTAATTGTTTTTATGAAATTTACTTGTCTACCTCCTTTAACTATGATGAAAAATATTTAAAAAAAATTGAGTCAGTTTACTTCTAATGACAGTGAAACGAGTGTAATGACCATGAACCCAGTTCGTTAATTTTTTTTTATAGCATATACCTAAGTTATCACTTGCTAAATGAATGAATGCCTTGAAAAAAATAATATTAGAGTCAATGGTTTGACCGTTCCATTTTTAAACTAAAAAAAAATTATCCGAGATGTAAAAACACTGAAAAAGAACAAAGAACATGATATAAATATAAACACCGGTTAAAAATTAACCTTAATAAAAATTTAAAATCAGGCTAATATGAATAAACATGAAATTCAAATTAGGAATAAAAAATAAATAATTAACAAACAAAACAAATAATAAATCAAAATTATACCCTTTTTATTGAAAATCCTAAGTGCCATAACATAAGCCTACACAAAAAATCCACAAAACAACTAAATTTAATTGCAGACAATTCCTCATAACATGTGTTTTACAACTTAGAAGCCACATGTGTATGTACACACAAGTTTATTTTTAACACCTATATTTTATTTGTTCTTGGAGGCTGAGTTCTCACACTGAAATAGCGGTGATAGATGCTAGAATTGTTTAATGTATTTATGCTAATTAGAGGTATATTTTGTGGGCTATTAGACACCAGATTAATGATGTTTGACCAACTGTGGAGATGAAAGTAATTGTACAATGCTCTGTAGAAGTATGTATTTATTTGCCTCATTATTTATGTCGTAGTTATTCAGTGTAAATTATCATATAATTTGATAAATATAAACATAACTGTATGTACCAGCACATATTGGTGTCACAAATCTATCAATATGTATTACATAATTATTGAGAAATGTTTACTTTATCAAATCGAATTAGGAACATGTTATTCTATTTGTGAACTTATTTTATTACAGGCATATAAAATATTAATATTCATGCTATTCATATACTTTACAACATTGATTCCTGATTGTTTTAGATTAACAATATATATGAATGTTCATAGTATGTTATATTTAAAAAAATATATCATGTTTTTTCAAATATTCTGATGATGTTTGATGCAAACTAATGAAAAATAATGCAAAAAATATGTACATTGAAATATTGTTTTTTTTATATTTAAAATTGCCCTTCAAGTTGAATATATTTAAAATAAATAAAAATTATTTGATTCACATAATGAAAATTGAAAATATATAAATTTTTTGCTTAAAATTATATTTTAGACAATGTAACCACATCTAATAGATGTGCCTAATTTTATTTTAAAATCAAAGCTCGCAATTTTACTGTTTTATATCATTTTATTATTATTTTCAGTATTCTTGTTGGCAATATTTCTCAATTGCCTTAATAAAACTGTAAATAGTAGCCAAAAAGATATTGTTCAATGCTACATTGCAGCAATTACATACACATCCGAANTAACCACAAAAAAAAATCATAGGCATAGATTTTTTTATTTTTAGAGCAAAATTGGGGTGTATAGTTTCTAAAATTTGTATTCCAATGACTTTTTTCTGACATTCGATTACTGCTTTCCAATATTATCGCCACTGGTTAACAGATGTACGAATTAAGTTAATTATTTTTAGTCTAGCTGTCTTCAGAGGTATTTGAATAAATATATCTTCTTAATTTTCAACACCTTGTATATTGAAATTATGGCATGGATTTAGAAAACACCCTGTATATTTTATTAATTATAACAATATTAAGTATTCCTGCTAAAATATTAAGACTTCATGCTAAAAAAATTAACGTTTATTTCTTTAGGATTAGAAAGAAATTAGGAAAATTTTATTTTAGAATTACATAAATTTGTAGTCTATAACCGATAACAACCAACTGATAAAAAATTAAATCCCTCAATGTTACAAATTAATTACAGATGTTTAAAATTACAAAATAATATGTAAATTTTGATGTCACGTGATCAAGGACGCATTGTGACGTCATTTAGTGCGGCCGAGAACATAACCTACTTCTCGGATGTCCGTCATCTAGTCGACAATTCCTATAGCTACGAGATGGAACATAATCTAAAGAAATGACCATGTTTGGAGCCTTGAACCAAAGTGAATTTGTTACTCTTGTTACTTACTATGCTCATGCTGTTGGAATGTCCTTTTCTCATCATTCATCTTCTCGATTATCGATAGCTTTAAATGGCATCACAAATGACACGGAAACAAACACCCCATTAAAACATTTATTTTGCGTGCCAAATTTCAATAATTAAATACTAATTAACAACGTTTAAGAAACGTCTAATGATTGTATAAGATTGTAGATTATTTCGAGACATTAAAAAAATATATGCAATAAAGAAAAGTATAAAGGGAAAACAAAAACCCAAAAAAAAAATTATAGTTGAAAAAATGATGCTGTTGAGGGCAGATATATTTCTTTTATATTTCAAACTTTTGAGAGCAAAGAGTGGATTTATAAAGGAGATACTAACTACTTTATAGATAAATACTACTACGTGTTTGAAAATTTCCTCTTTATTAAAGTAGAATGTATTTTAATATTTATATTAAAAAAATTCTAGTTTGAATAAAGTTAATTAAAAATAATTGTAAATATCATTTATCTCACAGTTTTTGATCTGCTCTCAGAGGGACTGGGTTGAGTAGAGTGGATTGAATATCATGAAATAATTCAATTCCGTCCATTAACTTGTTTACATTGATTGAATCAAATTAGAAATATTTTCTAGAGTTGACTTCATTGCTATTTTTATTTCAACCAACAAACCTAAGAAATTTATTAAATCTACAAATTTCGATGATCACGGCACAATATGTGACAAATACGAGTTATCTATTAATTATTAATTTGTGTTTTGTGTTATTTGCATCTATAAATATGTTATTGATGAGAATAAAAATTAGGCACATCTATTACATTATTTTAAAATCACTCTAATAGCAAAGCTCTCAATTTTACTGTTTTATATCATTTTATTATTATTTTTAGTCTTCTTGTTGGCAATATTTTTCAATTGCCTTAATAAAACTGTAAATGGCAGCCAAAAAGATATTGTTCAATGCTACATTGCAGCAATTACATACACATCCGAATTTGTAGCATTAAAATTTATTAAATATTATATATACATCCGAATTTGTAGCATTAAAATTTATTAAATATTATATTATTTATATGTATTGTAATATGTAGAATGATTGAAGTAAAGACTTTAAAATATTAAAAAAAAATGGTAGTAAATCGCAATTAATAAAAATTAATATAAAATTCATAATGGACTTGGATATTAGTTTGACCAATGGGAGGAAATACTGAAATCATTAAAATTAAGACGAGAAGAATAAAAATATTAAATACTTACGTATACTATCTATAAAAGTCATTAGAGAAAGAAAATTTATAAAAAAAAAATTATGTAAAGTTAATAAAAAAATATATAGATATATTCCAAAGCAACAATGTGATTGGTATAAATATTTTGTATGACTATAATTAATTAAGAAATATGTTTATAATTTAAGTAGTGGTATATGAAAAAGAAAAATGGTAACTAGGGAGAAACATAAATAAAAAGAAGCAGGAAGAATAATTTGTCACATAAAGGATATTGTAAGATTATTTGAAATTTGAAAGAAGAAGAACAAGAAAGAAAGTATTTCATAGAGAGGGAAAAGTTATACAGAGGAAGCACAGGAAAAGTGTTAACAGTAACAAAAATTCATTGAAGAGTATTAATAAAATTGATAATACAGTAAGTCAAATAATAAATTATAATTGTACTGTTATAGTGAAGAAATAGAGCGTAGTCAACAGAACCATAAAACAAGTAGAATGACAAGACATAATAGGAATTGTATAGAAGACCAAATATCAGGAAAGGAAATGACAGTAAGGACCAAAGTGGACTAACAGTAACGAGAACGAGTTGAAGTAGATGAGTAGGAGCTAGGACAAGTTGGAGTAGACGAGCATATACGAGAATGAGGATCGAGCGGCCAATGACAGAAAAAGAAGTTAGTGATGGATAGTGGAATATAGGTATAAACTAAGAATATGTAATTAGACTGTGCGTAATTTTGAACATTCATTGCAAAACATAGAGTTTAGGATATAATTTTAAGGAATAGAGTAGGAGAGGCGTAGGTAGTATAGAAACTCATTGTTTTGACTTGTTTTTATTACTAGAAAATAAACTTTGGGAAACTAATCACATTAAAAATTTTATTTAAATTTACAATATACTTGCATAACTATCGTAATTGAATTTTATTTGCATAAATTAAAATTTTGAGATACAATAATTAAATTCTGAACAATTTTTTAATATTTCCTTTTGAGTACATTATTCCAGTCTATTTATTGAAAGAAACTTTAAATCAAAATTCATATCTTCTTAGAACCACACCCTAAGACAAGACATATCATGTTTTTTTAAAACATAGTTGCTCTTGAGTCAATTTAAAAAAAAATAACAGAGACTTTTTCTATAAATATAATCCTACATCTAAATTATATGCTCATGGGAGCTGGCGCCCAAATAAAGTAGATCAAGAAGCAGTGAAGCTGAGTAAGCACGCCAAGGTAAGCAAATCATATATAGTGTTACTAAGGAAACTATCACAGTATATTATATTATTTCTATCACGCGCGCTCGCTATGGGACCTATAGTGTAGGGGGTTAGGTGCACGGAAAGTGCTAGATAGTACAACATCACGCTATTGTACTATCTAGCACTTTCCGTGCACCTAACCCCCTATGCTATAGGTCCCATAACGACTCGCACTTGTGATAGAAAATAGTATGTGCAACTCGTTTGAAAATGTTGCCATAGCGCCACTTGGGCGCTTTCCGCACTCGCTTCACTCGTGCGTCAACTACGTCTGCGTGGTGCTATTGGCAACTTTTCCCCACTCGTTACACAATGTACTATATTAGGTTGCTATCGTTATGATTGTCACCGCGCCTAAACCATCTTGATTCAAACACAATTCAAACGATTTCAAATATAAATTAAATTATTGTATATAACAGATTTGTCTTATTTTATTGCAGTTTTCGAAAAAATATTGTNAGCTGCTTTTGCCGCTATTGTCATTATTAATTAATACACTTAATTTGTTCTGTTACAACTGTTCAAAATTTTGTCCACCAATGTGTAAACACATTTGGGCGAGTCTTACCCAGTTTCTACGAACTAACACAAATGTTGTCTTACTTCACCATAACAAATAATTCACTATAACGCAAATGTCTTGCTTCACATTAATTAAAACGATATCCATCAACTCCGAGTTGCTATACACGTAAGCCATTTTTGACACTTGATAAACTAATGTAAACACTATCACAAAAATGTTAGGTAATAAGGTAATACTAAAATCAGATTCCAGTATTAGGAATCATTTGGGACCACGTGGAGAGAGGGCATTGGTACAGCACACAACGCGAATGACACTAGAAATTACAATAGCCCAGCGATGTAAAGATTGTAAATACTACAACTTCAATCATTTTTTTCTCGGAAACTATAAGGATTTTACAAATTTTTTTTTACAAAATTTACTCCATTTTTCATGACGCATTTATTCCCAAATTTTTTTGAATAACTTGTGAATTACACACCCTTCTCCATTACTCAAGTACTTTTCTTCAAACCATCATATTTACTACACGGGTGGCTTGGTGGCAAAGTCTCATACAGTTTTATGTATGATAGCATGATCCTGAGTTACAGAGATTCTATTTGCTCTATTCTCATTAACATTTATCGGGGACCACACACATGCGGCAAATGTTGGGCGACCCAGGTCTCTGATGGTAGGCTGCCACAGCCACGTCCCCGAGCCTGCCTTAGGTCACCCATCCAAATTCCAACCTGCATCCGTGATGCTTGCCTCGGCAGATGGAAATCCGCCGGCCAAGACACCCGGCTAAGCGGTCCCCTACCTGACATGGATATTCTATGCTCCACTTTAAACAAATATGGCCGCTAAGAATTTTGATTTTCCGAAGGTAACGTATGTTAAAATATCTGAAAGAGCTACAGAAAACTTTTGTCTTTAAATAACTTGTAAAAATTCCTACCTTGAGTGCTGCTGGTAAGCTGGTCCCTCCTCTCTCTAATAGCGGCTTGTAATGCCCGACACCTAGCGGTGCAATCTTCCAGCTGGGCTGCCAGGTTATTAGGCAAGGCATTACCAATACCAGCCGCCTGGATCCTGGCCTCCTCGAGAGACCTCTGCAAAGAGGGCAATTGTTGCTCCAAAGTCCTCAAGTTAGACAAGAGTTCCCTGGCTTCGGCTGCGCTCCTCGGACCACTCCAACTGAGAGTGGCCCGTTCCAACCTCGATACGGCCGAGGAAGCTTCTTCCAGGTTCATGGTTAGTTGTTTCAGTTTCTGAAAGAAAAGGCAAGTGTTTCAACCAAAAATTAATACAGGGTGGGTCGATTTTTCTTAACAAATTTTAGGAATAAATGGATTATCAAAAAATTATGATAGTTGATAAAATGTACTTTTCCAATATTTTTTCAAGTAACTAAAAAAATCGTATTTCGAGAAAGACTACTTTAAAGTTTTGAAATATACGCTATACTTACGTACTTTCCATTGAAAATGCTTTTTTTAAGGAAACCGTTAATACCCTGTATTGCAAAAAGTAAAATTTTTTCGATTATTATTATTTTTTGGTAATTCGCCTATTCCCAAAATTTGATAAAAAAAATATCAAACCATCCTGTACAAATCAAGATTAACTTACGATGGAATTCTGCTCGAACCGAGTCGCCATCTGATCCGACTTATCGATCAAAGCGTTCCATTTGTCCGACAGCTTAACGAGTTCCCTTCTAAGATTCCTCGCTAGTTCTCCAGAAGGATCTCCAGCTACAAACTGCCTAGCGCTCCTCAGACTGGCCTCGACTAAGGGCCTTTTGTCTTCCAATTGCTGTCTGAAAGCTCGGTGGTCATCTTGCCGCGCCGCCAATCCTAATTCTGTGTCTTTTCTAATAACCCACTCTGTGAGTTCACGCAGTGACAGCAACAGTGCGTTCCAGTAGTCGGCGTTGTGCTCTAGACGGTTGCGCAGGTCTGAGGTTCGTGTTCTTAGGGACTGTAAATAAATAAATTAATAGTTTAAAGAAATTAAAATTATTTTTTATCTACTATACCCTTCAAATATGTCAGTCTTTCACTTTGAATGTAAATTACAAAAAATGGAGTGTGTTGTTACCAAAGAAGTTGCAGTTTCAATATTAAAAGCAGTAAAAAAAACAGTTCGAGTAGTGGATATGTCAAAAACTGTTTAATTTAGATTATTTTTTTAATTAAGCACTCAAAATGGGGGCCAATACAAATGAAACATAGTAGATTTTTATTCACCTGCCATCTCCTCTCCATTTCGTCTCCCCTAAGTTGCAACATGAGAGCATCCTCGGGGGCCAAAGACCCAAGCAGGGCCAAGCTTGAAGACCGAAGAGAAGAATGTGTAGGAGCCTGCCTGTCAATATCAGCTTGTAATTCTTTGAGTTGATGAGCTGCCCTGCGAGATTCGACATCTCCTTCCAAGGTTTCCACGACGGACTCAGCTTCACTTAACCAAGCCAGGAATTTGTCTAAGGATCGGTCTAGATTTTGCAGGGAACTTAGAGCGGAATGAAGGAGTTTGCCTCTGTTTATTACACAGGCATCGAGTCTCAGGTAGTGTTGGTTGATATATTCCGCCGCCTGCGATCACAAAAGTGGGATTATGCAGAAAATTGACGATTTTAAAACATGCTTTTACCTTTTTGTAACGGCTTGTGTCCTCATGTTGATGTGCTGTGATCAGTCTTTGTGTAAGTTGCTGGAACGATTCGATTTGTGCTTTAAATTGATGTAGTTCTGCATGCAGGCCCTTCTGTTCCCTCAGTTGGACCTCCAGTACGTCTGCTGTATGACCCACAGGTGCCATACCTGCAAGTCTTGATTCCATTCGCTGCAGCCATACTTCCAGATCTAATTTTTTCTGGTCAAAGTTCTCCTCTTTCTTCTGCATTCTTGTATGCAATTAGCGAACTAAACCATATTAGGATTGTCAGCGCGGCAGTCACATAGTGAATAGTAATAAAGCAACCGTGTAAAAAGGGCGATTACCTCGATACTTCCATATAGGCATTTGCAGATCAATGTTTATAGCAAAGGGTTGATGACCGCGCACCTGTTTTAGAGTTTTGTTCCTGTTCCTCATCCCCTCAAGAAAATGATGGGCCGCCGTCTCTCTTTTCACGGGACGGCATTACGCGTTTTAATTTTCACAGATTAATTAATCAATTAACCTCAATTTTAAACTATGAAATTGTTTGTATACAAAAAAAAAGCAAAACTGCAATGTTGCCAAAAACAAGACGGCAATAAAATAAGAAAAAATGAGAGAAATTATTAATTACGGCAACCTCAAAATTTACCTTAAACATATTAAGTAAGCGATGTTGCTAGATTTTTGTAATAACAACACTTTCTTGGAAATTGCATGGTGACAAAAATAAGACAGTTCTGTAAGGTATGCAGAAAGAAAGAAAACAGATCTAACTTGGCAACATCACAATGGGAACATAAATTTCGAGAATTACCAATGTAATAAACTGAAAGTTGCTAACATGATTCCAAAAATAAAAATAAACGCTGCTGCTGCCGTTGCTGCTGTCAAGTTAGCAGTTAATCAACAATGAATGTTAGTGAAAGTACCAAAATTGAGGTTACTTTGTGATATTTGGACGTGGTTTATTATTCCTTCAAAGAGGAATGTCTTGGAATTGTGTATTAACATTAGTACAGTATTTATTCCTTTAATTTATTATTTAGTTATGCAAAGATGGATAAATCACCGACAAATAATATCCCAAAGGAAGTTGAAAGTAATGGTGTCAAAAAAGAAGTATTTCCTGTTGTAGAAAAAACCAAAAAGGGTTTATCAAATTTCAGAGCAATTATATTTCTTTTGTTATGGTATTTTTTCAGTGGGTGTACTTTATTTTTAAATAAATATATTTTAACTTACCAAAATGGCAACCCAACTGTCTTAGGTAAGTTTTTGCACTTTTTTTGCATATATTTTTAAATCTGTAACAATTTTAGGGGCTTGTCAAATGTTAATGACTGCAGCATGTGGTTTTGTGCAATTATATTTTCCTTGCGGAATGTATAAGCCATCACAGCGGTTAAGTAAGCCACCCGGATTTTATAGACACATGGTATTAGTAGGTTGTTTTAGGTAGAAAAATATTTTATATGCTTACAAAAAGGTTAAATATTTTCTTTTTTAGATTTTTAACGGTTGTGCTAGGTTTAGTAGCTTTGAATTATGTGGCTGTTAGTTTCACAGAAACTATTAAAAGCTCTGCTCCCCTTTTTACAGTATTAATATCAAGATTTCTCTTAGGTAAGTATATTAAAGGCATACATATATATTTTTGTATAAATTTTAAAGTTTTATTTATTTCATGAAATATTTGTTTTTAGGAGAACAAACCGGACTCTATGTCAACTTGAGTCTTCTTCCTGTTATGTCGGGATTGGCTTTATGTTCCATTAATGAAGTTAGTTTTGAACTAATTGGCTTTTTGGCAGCTATGGCCACAAACGTAACTGAATGTGTACAAAATGTTTATTCAAAAATGTTGATTTCTGGAGACAAATTTAAATACACGTAAGTTGCATTGTTTTACTGCAGTTGTGCAAACTGAAGTAAACAAATATTTATATAGTTTTTATGGTTTATTTGTCATGCTTTTCCTTTTGTAGAGAATGTGTAAACTTTCCTTTAACGTATACATTTCTCAAGGTTAAGAAGATCTATTCTGTTGCGACAGCTTTTGATTTTAGAATTACAATTTGTTTCACAATATTTTAAAACATCTTTTGTAGCTAATGTAAAGCCTGATGCAATGTATATTTGAATATGTTAAAGAAGAATGTAGTAACATTTTTGTAGTTTTAAAACCTGTTGATGACATTTAAAATATTATAATTGCGTAGAAGAATGTTTAAGTAGTAGTATAGTCGACTGTCTCCTTTCTCTGTTGATTACAGTTGTTCTATTAGTGGATATAAATGTATATGAATTACACAAAAAATTTGTGTAATTGTGTTTGCAGTTGTTATAACAATATGCGAATCAGATACATTTGGAAATTAAAAGAAATTTATTCACAAACCTTTTAGAATACAACATTAAAAATTCTAACGGACTTGTTTTAAAAATTTGTATAAAAAGTATAATTTCTATGATACAATTATTTTAAAGAATTATATAAAACATTTTTCTTAGTTTAATTGTTAACGAGTTTACTGCAAATGTAGAATAGGATAGAACATCTAACATGTAATTTATTTCTTTTAGACCAGCTGAATTACAATTCTACACTAGTGTGGCAAGCATAGTTGTTCAAATCCCAGCCACTTTATTATTGGTTGATTTAGTATCCAGTGAAAAAATTGGTTATAAACTAATTTTGTGTTTTGTATTAAACGGAATATTTTTCCACTTCCAAAGCATCACAGCTTATGTCCTTATGGACTATATTAGTCCTGTGACACACAGGTAAGCTTAATTTTTATATTTATTATATTGGATAAAGTAAAACGTGTAACAGAAAACAAAGATAACAGGTAATCCTCATTTTTAATAAATTCAATGTTATTTTAATGATTTATGTTTTTTTGTCATCTTTTTAAAATTGTTTATGAAATATCACAGTATTCATATTTTAATGAATGTTACATAAAAGCGTAACCTTCAATTTGTCGCTTTTACTCATAAACATGTTTCAAATGACTCAGTATGTAGTTTATAATCAATTAAAACATTTTTTTTAGTGTTGCTAATACTGCTAAACGGGCGTTTCTCATATGGCTCTCTATTCTTATGTTCGGGAATCCGGTAACGATGTTAAGTGGATTGGGAACAATAACTGTGATAGCAGGTGTTTTTTTGTATATAAAGGCACAAGAATACGATAACGATAGGTTAAGTTCTGCAAATTTAATGCATAGGAAAGTTAGGGCAATATAAACGTTTTTTTTTCTGTCGTAGATCGGGTTGAATTTGTTTTTGTATATACTTTATAGATGGTTTGATGATGTGCTTGTTCTGTTGCTGTAGGAATGTTTAAGAAAAAATTATTCCACGAAACACGTCTTGGAGACTATATAGATAAAGATCATTTGTACTAGTCATTTATTAACTATATCTTTGATATAAACCATTGTTGAAGGAAAGCTATAAAACCGTTTGCGAGACCTTCAGGATTTAGAAAGTGTCATTGATATTAATATTTGTGATTTTAGTTGTTGTATGAATATGGAGATTCCAATCTATAGTGTGTTCTTTATGGTCATCGTCTCTAGAATAAAGGTTGTTTTGATGGAATCCAAAATAATAATATTAAAACTAATTTTTTGTGTTATTGATATAAAAGTGTATATTAATGCTCAGTTAAAAATCAATTATTTTCTTTTATATTAATCTACCAATTTGATGGGTGTTTACTGTAAATCCATGATGAAATTTAATATTATCGGACATTTCATGTCATATATTTTAACTGATTTATGACAAAATTAAAATACAACAAACATGTTTGGCCTGTAAAGTCCTCACTGTTCATTATTGAAACTATAGTTTTACACTTTACACAAAATGATATACAGGGTGATTCATAAATAGTGACCAAAAATGTAACCTCATATTCTTTGGTGAATTTTAAGGGCAGTCTTTCCTATAAAGTTTTTATCTAGGAAGCTTTGTTAATAAGATACAGAGTGTTAAACTTCAAATTTAAATTTTTTTAAATAATTTAAAAACTAGTAAGTGAAATAATTTGAAATTGGGCACGTATTTATGTAAACATTGTCCACAATCTGAGGGTGTTTCCTAAAATTTACGTACCCCAGTGGCGGAGATACAGGGTGTCAGTGGCATATTTTTCTAAATAATATAGTCTGCCGTTGCTTTACTTTTACTTAAATGTCATGACAAGCACTAATCATTCGGTTATTTATTCGAATAAAGAAATTAATAACATTAGTCATCATTTTAACGATTTTATTTGAGTAAATGCTCAAAAATACCTCCATTTCCACAAACACAGATCCGACATCTTTTTAGTAACGAAAATGTAATTTGTTTGAAATTTACTGTTGCTTGAATCTGATGAAAAGCATTATTTATTCTTTTTTCTAACTGCTCAGTATATCAAAGTTGCTATAGCAGCCCATTATGTAATTTTAAAACGTATTATATTCGAATATCGAAGTGTGTTTTCAGTTCGTTTTTAAGTTTTACTTGGAAATCAAGCTTTTTCCAAAAAACACAAGAGAGTAGTAATTTGTAGAAAATTGAAAGATGAATCTGAAAATATCATGGTTGTTACCATAAAGCAGTGGTGTACTATTTTATTTAGAAAAATATATCACCAATACCCTGTATCTCCGCCACTAGACCATGTATATTTTTTTTAAATCCCTCAGATTTTCGACAATGTTTACTTAAATACATGTGGCCAATTTCAAATTATTTCACTTACTAGTTCTTAAATTATTTAAAAAAATTCAAAATATTTTTTGAAGTTTAACACCCTGTACCTTTTTAACGAAGCTTCCTAGATAAAAACTTTACAGGAAAGACTCCCTTAAAAATCCACTAAAGAATACCAGGTTTCCTTTTTTGGTCACCATTTGTGAATCACCCTGTATGTGTAACAGAATTATTATTGCATTTTTGTTTTCAAAATTTTTATTCTGACCTATATCTCACTGCCTGCACAAATCTGCCTAAGAATTACTGTTAGTTAAAGACCTAACTCTTTTGTAACTATTGAAGAACAAAATTTGTACTTGTAAGATAAGTGTGGCAAAACTAAATTTGTCAAATTGTGTATAGAATGGAAACGGATAAATTAACATAATTAATGTATGTTTTGCTTTTTTCTATTTTTTATACTTCTACTTAGAATAAGCTCTAGAATGTTTGAAAGTATTTACGGTGGTTCCTAAGTTGACTCATATAAACATTTTCTCAAATACCAATTTTCAATAAACTTAAAAAGAAAAATCTTACAATATTATGAAGTTGGACCTGACTTATTAAGAATCTGCAAGCACTTTGTAAGGATAACGGTTTTCCCCTAACTTCATCAACTGCCTGTTCTATCTGGGCAATAAGTTCTTTCCTTATGTTAACAGGCATCTTACAAAAAAGTTTATTATCCAACTCTATAAAAAGAAATCAGAAGGATTAAGATCTGGTAACCTAGCTGTCTACACAACTGACTCCATGGCCTACTCACTTTTTACTGAATGTGTTATCTAACAACTCTCAATTCAGGCCTAAACAGTCTAGGGAACATAGTAGATCATATTTGCAAAAATCCCACATAGCTTTTGCTCATTAAACAATCTGGCAAGATTGGCATAAGTTGCCCACACCTTTAGAAAAAGCTATCTTGAAAAGTCGTTTGCCTATAAACATGGGGATTATCAGCCGACCCAGTACCTATGAGTATTGTGAAAGTTGTTCATTTTATTTCTGGTAAATGTAGCCTTGTCCGTAACCAAAATGTTTTTAGTAGGATGTTTTGATTCATCCCATGTTGTCTTTGTTGGGCTGGTCTTGTGACTTGAACTTGTTACACATAAAATGGGCAGAACTGATTTTCCCGTAATGTCCAAACTTTTTTGGTTCATTTCAACTTGGCATGCATGCATTTTCTTAAAATTGTTTGGTCTCCATCATAGGATTCACAATTTGTTCCTCTTATTACACATTATCCAGTACTATTAGCCTTCACACTTGCCTTCAGCGATGTTCCTGCAAATCATTGGTGTCTTTTCTTTGCATAACCTTAACATATGATCGCAGTGAGGGCGAACCCATAATTGAAAACATTTTGCTTAGGAATTACCACTTATTAATATTTTATCATTATTTATGCTAGTTTTGAATATTAAAGGCATCTATAAAGTATCTTCACCAAACTCGAATATCATAATCACAAATTGGTTGTCATTACCTTACCTTTTCTCATGTTTTATAAAAAATTAATAATGTGATACATTTTATTAGTACAGGAATATTAGTATAATTTTTTTGACATGTTGATTTTTTAAGTATTAATTTTTTATTCCTACAAGGCTCCCACTTAAAATACAGAGTGGATCAAATATATGCAACTTCGAATTTTGTGTCTTCCATTTTCAGCTTTTTGCCAAAATAAAGAAATAAAAGTACAAAATAGGAAAAAATTTTCGCAATTACTGAACATCAGTTTATTAGTTTATGGTTGCAATCAAATATCACAAAATCAGGAAAATGTTTTATAATAACTTCCGAATAATTTATTATTTCTGCAATAGATTAATTATTATTTTAATATTTGAAACTGAAATTTTTTTGATCCACTCTATAGAAACAGAATATTTGCAATAGATTTAAGAGTGATTAATTCATTTTTAGCAATTGCTGCGAAGTCTTGATGAAAGTATGAATAGCAAAAACACTCACTGTTCTGTGATTCAATTTTTTTTTAAGTGATACATTCTTAAATGTATAGAAAAAATCTCTATTTGTATTATAAATGTTTAAATTTATTTATGTTGAAAATATATATTTATTTTTTATTTCATGGTTGTGTAACTTGCATTCCAGTTGTTTTCTAATATGTGTTGAATAGTCAATTTTACTGTCATGTTGGTGTACTTAAATTTGTAAATAAACATTTTACATGTAAATTCGTGTACATAAATAGAAAAGAGTTGGTTAAACCATTTTATTTATCATGTTTTGAAATTAAATTGTTTAAGAAATATGGAGTTTTTTTTCCTTTAAATTTCCCATAAAATCCTCATCATAGCTAATTTATCAGTTAATCAAATAATATTTAAAAAATGAATTAAAAGAATAAAAGAAATGATAATGGCAAAGTATTTACGAAAGAATGTTAATTTTCTTGCTGAGCTAGCAACCAGTAATGCGGTAGTGTGTATTAAGGGTTGCAAACATTTTACGAAAGAATAAAATTTGCTTCTGCTCTCTGGCGGAACAGTCTGTACTAGCGATACGAGAAATAAACAATCGTAAATTAGAACGATTTTCTGAAATACTTGGATTACTTGGGTGTGGTTCATTATTTAGTCAATCCCTGACGCGCGTATTATTGAATTTCTTTTTTTTAACATTTTTTTTAAATTTACGAAGATGCCGGTTGCCCACACGGTTTCTAAAACCATTGGGAATTGGGATATTAAAAGTGGCTATTAAAATTAAAATCCATCATGTCGGTGCAAACGAGGATAAATTCCGTTTGGAAAATAATTTGGCAATATTAAAATATTATGTGAGCAGTTAAAACAAAACTTAAAAATAAAGTGTTTGGCAGTTCTTTGATGCTTTGGAACAATCTATAAATATTTAGTATTTAGTAATTATTTAGTGTGGCTGTGGCAAGACTTAGAATTATGTTTTATGACTTGACTCGAGTGCGGTCGGCAATTGCGACAATCATTGTGAACGTTCATAAATGTCAGACCCTAAACAATTCTTAAAAAGGATAATTCATTTTTAGTTTTTCGAAAGTTGACTTATTGACTCGTTTAGTTTTCGAGAGAAATTTTGGAAAGTTAAATGGGGAGGCAGATTTGATATCATTCGGGATTAAAAATAAAATTATTGATCACAATGCGGATACAAAACAGTGGCGGGAAAAAATAAATTTTAATCCATACTGTAATCGAGAGCCTTGAACATCATAACATTGCCTGAACTTTGCCGGAAAATTATCGGATTACGTGTAAACATCAACAATTATTCTCCTATTAGGTATATACCACGGGTTTATTTTCAACGTACCTACGTTGAGAAGTCACGATTTACTAAAATTTTTAAAAAATGTAGAGTTGAAATAATGACAAATGAGGTATTTCATTTTATCGAGTATCGTCTTTACTCTACATCCAGCTAAAAGATATTCAGAATTTCGTCATATACAAATTTCCGTGATGCATTAAAAATTTGACGGCATAAAATTTTTGATCATGTCAAGTTCCTAAAGTATTTAGAACGATTAAATAATTACCTACCTACGCCCTGGCATACAGCATTGATAAGAAGGAAGTCGTACCCGTTTTGGGAAACTCATTGGGTACCTAATTAGAGATAATTATTTAATGTTTAAAGTAAATGTAAAGACTAAAGAAACAGAAACACATAGGCAGCTGGTGATAAGGCTCCAGGAGAACATCTCTAGGGGTGCCAATAGCCAAGGGGTTGGAGGTTGAATGGACGTCTGGCCCTTGAGTGACCAATGGTCTGGCTCAGACTGAAGCATGGCCCTCAAAATTGTTTGGATGTTATTGTCAAACCTGTTATGATAAATACATTATTTTTTGTAAATATATTTTATCTATGCCTATACCTATAGATATTTTGTTGTAAACATATACATTAATTTGCGAAAAAAATGCATTGTTATTTAATAATTTAATAAATGTATGTATTATATATTTAAAAATTGTATTTTATTCCACTTATTTTAAAGTAATAATAGACAAAAATATTATTTTATTGTATACAGCAGGGTGTCCCGTTCATGTTTCAAAAAAACTTGTGTGCAAGTTCCTCATGGAAAAATAATAGGGGTACCTAGTTCATGTAAAGTCTTTTGCTTAGACTCCCTGTTTTCCAGATACAGTGTGTTGAAGTTGTTACTTTCCAAATGGTTTTCCTTAATTATCTTTAAATCGGCTAAAGATAAAAATGTCAAGATTTGTACACGAGTAAACATCAAGTGTGCACTACGATACTAAGAAGTTTAATTCGGAAAAGTATGAAGATCCTAGGTATTATTCAAGTGTCTGAAAAAAATTGACAAATAAACTATCATTTTTTGCAATTTCTTAAATGATTTTTCCGATTTTTGCAATAACAATAATTATTTTTTCGAATTGCAAATAACTCTATCTTGATCAAAATTTAATTACAAATCTTTTTTTCCCCCTCCATTTTTGTCTAAAATGAATAGTTGCTAAGTTGTCGACGAGAAATCCAAGAAAAAAATGAATTTTTTTGCTACTTTTTATACTTTTTTGCAATAACTAAGCCCACGTTTTTTTTTTTATTTGCATAGAAGTATTATGATTTCTGATGTTATTTAGAAGCCGTTAAAGCAAAAATCTCCGTTCATATGCGTTTTACCCAACCCGAAACAGATACCGCCTGGACTAATTGCCAATAGTAGGTACTATTCAAATAATTCATATATGTAATAATAAAAGTCCACACTGTATACCTATGCCAATTCATCCATCATTTTAGAACCTAAATGAAAAATTTTGTTATAATTATGTTAAAACCCATTTCTATTAAGGAAATTAAAAAATGAATATGTTTTCTTATAATAAAGTACTGGTTATTTTAAACTACTCTTTTTTTTACCTGACATGATTTGTTAATAAGTGATGGGTTAGTTCATTTTTATGCAAAATTTAAGTTATTTTTTTAATAGTCAAATTTATAAATAGATTTTATTTCATACTGTTCAATAGTGAACCATTTTTTGAATTATTTTTAGGACAAAAAATGGAACTTTAAAGTTCTAGGACGTTAAAGTAAAAGTTCTAGTACTTCAAACAAATTTCTATGGTAACCCACGTATTACCATAGTATAAATAAATACTATTTGATTTTTTAGATAAAGTCATAAAAATTGTATGTACCATGGACGAAAAGTAGCTTTAGAGTACTCGTAAATTTTTACGGCCTCGACTACGCTTCTGCCGTAAAAATTTACTACTTTAAAGCTTCACTTTTCGTCCTAAAACATAAATATTAATCAAATTTGTCAAAATCGAATTTACCGCTCAAAGTTTCGCCATCTTTTATTGAATAGCTTCAGTAACAGATCAGGAGTAATTGTCTACACTAAATGCGAAACTTTGGATGGCATTCACCTAAGGCGAACTGCTATCAACTGTGTGTAAAAATGCTGAGTAATCAGTTTCTATTCTAGAGGGTGTTCTGTGACTTCTGTGGGGGTAAGCTCACAAATAGAGTATCCATCCATAATTGGTGGCAGCTCCTGATAAATAGGTGACCAAAGTGATACCGAATTCCTCTTAAACAACTACTCGCATGATAATACTAAACAAGAGTAAATAATAAAATGTGATAAAAATTCCCCAGAATTTTTCCGTCACACTTGGTGTAGTACTATCGCTATTTTTACATACGTCGTAACGTGTTGGTATCAGGATTAATAGTCTTAATTTTTTTGAAAAATCAGTTTTACTTAAAATATTTATTTTATTTATTTATGTACAAAATATTGGAATTTCAATTATTTTTAATAAATTACAAAAATGTTTATTAAATGTAGTATTGGCACGTGGCAGGCCTGCATTTGCTTAATCCTAAAAACACTTAAAAAAAGAGTATAAAAAATACAATATATGAAATTTTCTCCTATGAGTAGGGACTAACTTCCTAACCAAGCAATTATTTCAGTAGGAAAACATAAAACAAAGATATTTACAGGTAATAACAGATAATTGAAACGTAACTAATAACCTAAAATTAAATGAAAACTAGGTAACGTCGGAAACTGGTTAAGAATAATAAATAGGCTTAATCTTAACAAGTGTGGACAAATTATTGATATACCTACTTAATTAACCTACTGAGAACTGCTAAGAATAATCAATCGCTCTTCCTTACGAAGTAACAATTATTGAGGACGTCAAAGAAACAATATGGTGTTTTATTTCTAATAAAATGACAATTTTGACAGGATCCTTAGTGGATTTTTCACAGCACTGGGTATTGTGGGACCAATAGAAGCTTCTGAAGAATGTATCCAGAAACTCTATAAATGGCGAAAGTATACCTATTTATTTTTAGTTATTCTTTAATTTTGCTGCTAAATTTGATGGCAACTTTTATAGCCGTCATATTTCAAGCCAAACATACGATCACATATACTACATACACATATATTCATCACTTAGTGAGAGAATTCAGTCCTTCAGCCTTAGGTACGGTGGGCTAGGGTTCCTGGTGTCCTAACACCGGGTCGCCTTCTTCCGGCTAGGAGTTTATTCAATCCCTTTGGTTCTTCTGTAGTGCTGGAGCTCGGTGCTGCCTCTGTACCTTCTTCGTCTTCATCTTCGGACTCTTCGGGGGCTGGCGACTCTTGAGGTGCCTCACTTGAAGGCGCCTCAGTAGTTTGTCCCGGACGTCTCCTAGCTATGAGCGGGTTCACTCTGCGGACCTGGACAGGGGCGCTAGCTGCAGCCTTTGGACGCTGCTGGACATTGATGCGGTTCTTGTTGCGGAGACGGCCTAGTGGACTGTTGTCCACTGGAGCGGCAGGGGTTTCCTCCTACGTGATAAAATTAGACAATCATTAGTTGCCATAAATTCAGGGGACGGTAAATATAAAAAATAAAAGGACTTTTCCCTATGGACCAAGGGCCTATTGCTTTTTTTCTTGACAGAAATTCATTGTAACATAGAATAGAGTATAAATAAATAAATTCATTTTCATGAATGGTTAAAAAATGAAGTAATCGTAATTTTGACCCAGAACTTACTACAGAATCAACAATTCGTCATGAAACACGCTGGCGTAGATTCTCCGAGACTTACCTTTTCGCTTGCCTCTTGATCGGGAGTTTCATGCTCTTCCTCGGCTTCTGCTACTTGATCTTCAGGCGGGGCTTCAGTTGTCGTAGTTGAAGTAGTAGTAGCTGCTCCAGGTCTACCTCTAGCAGACAAGTTGATCCGTGGACCAGGTCTCAGTGGCCTGACACCAGGTGCGGCGATCCTTCTTCCCTTGGCAGTGGTGCTGCTGATAGGTTCTGTGGTAACGGGAGAAGATTCGTCACCGGGTTGGTCCTCTTCCGTAGCCGGTGCGGCAGTTGTGCGTCCTCTAGTTCTCAGATTGAAGGATGGTCGAGCTCTTGGAAGAGATGGGCGTGATGGTGCGGCAGTGCTGCTGCCACTGCCGCTGGATGACTCCTCCTTAGGTTCTTCAGTGGCGGCGGTAGTGCGGCCACGTGGTCTAGAAGCGCCGAAGCGACCTCTGTTCAGAGATGGCTGAAAACAAATAAATCTTTGTACCTACTGGAAGAAGCAATTAAAAGAAATATGGACGTTTGAACTATTGGTTATACAAAAAAATGGTACGCATGAAAATAATTATTTAACAACTCACTCTTGAGTGGCTGGCCGGTTTGGCTTCTTCTTTGCGCGCCTCTTCTTCTACGGCTGGTGCTACGGTAGTCTTGCTTCCAGGTCTCGCCCTTCCTCCGAAACTGGGCCTTCCAAATTTACCCTTGGGTTTAGATTCCGCTGGTGCTGCTTCAGTGGTGGAGGCAGCTTGGGCGGTCGTCTTCCTTCCGCCGATTCCACCACGTCTTCCACCACCGAATTTGCCTCGTCCGAATGGAGCCGCTTCTGTGGTTGTGGTTGTCGTTGTAGTAGTTGTGGTAGGAGCTGGGGTCGTGGTGGTTGTCGTGGTGGTAGTAGTTGTGGTCGTAACTGTCGTCGTTTCTGGCTCTACAGTTTCTGAAAGCAAATTTTTTTTTATTCATTAGTATCAGTTAATAACGAATTTAATTCTTTTAAGAAATATCTGTACCTGTTACGGGTTCGGTAGTAGCTTCACCCTCTTCAGTTGAAGCAATCTTCTCACTCTCAGTGCTGATTTCACCATCCTCACCTTCCCCGAAAAGCTTCTGGGTTCCTTGAGAGATTGCGTACAGGTCCAGAGCTACCTTATCCATTGGCGACATAACCGTTGTACCTTCTTCGGCGGGTGGACTTGTACCATCCTCTTCTTCGTCCTCTTCCTCAACTTTGGTCTCGCTCTTTTCCGCAATATCAGATTCTTCAGCTTCTTCAGGTTCTTCTTCCTATCGACAGTCAAATAGTTTTTAAATCAATGAGACATATTGTTTTAAATAGTGAATAGGAAAGTAGTAAGCAGCAAAAGAACTCGAGATATGAGCAGTTTGGTTTAACGTTAATTTCGTATGTTTTTGGCGTTAACTTAATGTTATCTGTTAACAATGGCACTTGTTATGTTATTATGCATAAAATGAGTTTCACGCATGTACCTGTTGATTTATAATGAGCACTTGTTTTTCAATATAGCTTTGAAATATCCGTACAAACAATTATTCGAATAGTACAGTAATTACACTATTTATACCTAAAATAAACAATAATAATAAATTTTATCCAGTTTTTTCTTTATAAGGTTTCATTTTCCTAGGCTTATCTTCTATGTTAATAAGTTAATAAATGTTTATAATGAGCAACACGCGAATGTAAATTTAATATTACTGTGAACCCTATACAGGGTGTTTCCTAAGTACGGTCCGTAACTTCAGGACACAATTTCTTATGATATTTGAAGAAAACAAGTTCCTACAAACATGTGGCCGGAAACGCTTAGATTCCGGGTGTTGAAAATTAAAAAAAATATATATTTTAATGTTTGAAATAAATTTGGAAGTCAATGTTAGGTTTTTAAAATTTGAGAGTAATTGTACGTTGGTAAACAGCTGCATTTTTAGTATAAAGTCAATATTTATCTGCCGCCAGTGGCGTAGTTAGGCGTAAGTCAGTCGACGTTTTCCTCATAAAATGTAGAAGGCCAACAGATTTTTTAAAATTTCGCAAATTAGTGAGTGAATAACAATCTTGATAATAAAAACAAAAAAAATAACAAACAGATATTGATATGTAAAGAAAGAACAATTAAATTTTAACAAAAGTAAAGATGTTTATAAATGCTCGAATTGCATACCTACCACTATTTTAACCTCCGCTGCGTATTTAGGTAGGTTCTTTTATAAACGCATTTTGTTTTGGTAATTAAATATCCGACCCTTTTTGGCGTCAAAATATAGCTATTTTTATGTTCTTCAAATTAACTTATAACAGTTTTATCCTGCTATTTCACTTTTTTAAGAAAGCATGAAACAACCTATAGTACGATCGTATTCGATGCAAAGTAATAAATCATTGCCTGTTAAGGGAATCAGTGCAACACATTTTATAGGGGGTTTTGGAAATTGAATAATTTCTTTATGCATTANAACAGCTGCATTTTTAGTATAAAGTCAATATTTATCTGCCGCCAGTGGCGTAGTTAGGCCTAAGTCAGTCGACGTTTTCCTCATAAAATGTAGAACGCCAACAGATTTTTTAAAATTTCGCAAATTAGTGAGTGAATAACAATCTTGATAATAAAAACAAAAACAATAACACACAGATATTGATATTATGTAAAGAAAGAACAATTAATTTTTAACAAAAGTAAAGATGTTTATAAATGCTCGAACTACCACTATTTTAACCTTCGTTGCGTGTTTAGGTAGGTTCTTTTATAAACGCATTTTGTTTTGGTAATTAAATATCCGACCCTTTTTGGCGTCAAAATTTAGCTATTTTTACGTTCTTCAAATTAACTTATAAGAGTTTTATCCTGCTATTTCACTTTTTTAAGAAAGCATGAAACAACCTAAACTTGGATAAACTGCGCTAATAAATAAACACTTTCGATAGAAATTTCAAACTTATATTCATCAATTTTTGTGTTGAATTCATTTATGAAAAGAAAACCTAGCATTGCATTAAAAATTTTTGAGAAAAATCCATAAAACGGTATTCTTTTGAAATAACGCCATCTATAGGTTTCCTTATTGAGGTAAATGACATTACGCATTCACCACGAGATAAAGCATGAAAAGACCTTTCCAACGAGGTATAACACTATGGGCTTTTGATGAGACAATCCTTAAATATACAGGGTGTTCAGTTTTTCCTGGGCAGGTACCAACTTAATTTTTTTTAAAGGAAACCTATATTTTTTATGGCATTGTCGAATTCTACGTGAAAAATTAACGGGACTTTGTTATGATCCCTATTAAAATATTGATAGTTTTCGAGATAATCGACTTTTCATTTTTTTTTCTTATGTTTCGTCACTTCTAGTAGTTGACATAATTATGATTGTATGACAGCTAGAAATTATTTTTTTTTTTCAGGAACTATAGAGTGAAGATGGTTCTTTCAAGAAACGTATCAAAGGTTATCCTGCGATATACAGGGGGCAAAAAAAATCGTGCCAAACTTGATAATTTAAAATTTGAAAAATCTCGACTTTTTCAAATAGAACACCCTGTGTTTTATGATTTCAGTAGATGCCTTTCTGTAGACCCTACAATTTTTTAATAGCTTTTCCTATACCTAAGTTGCGTAGTTTTTGCAAGAAACCCATTTTTATATAAAATACCGGATTTGCGCCCGTTCCTTTGTCGGGAAAAATAGTAAGGGTATTTATTATTATTAAATTTATTAGTTGTCTAGCTACACTATTTAAAATAAAAATTAATAACTTATTTAGATATTTGAGTTTAATAAATAAGTATTTATGGAATGTTACCATTTATTTGCAAATGAAATAAAAAAACATAAAATCGCTACAAGTGATTAAGAATTAGCAAAATATGGGAAATGTTTGCTAGCAGCACGTATTTACAAAGCAAATAATCCAAATTTACAGAGATTCCCACTGTTTTGAAAATGTGAAGGAAAGGTTTAAATGAACAGCAAATGCGAAAACTACCACGAGACATGAAAGTAACAACGATAATATTTAGTTTAAAGTTGTGGTGTCTGCTGTTGAAAATCCAAATATTAGTGCCAGGAAATTAGTGGTAACCTTGGAGTTTTCAAAAGCTTGACAAATAAAATATTGAAGAAGTTTCATCCGTATCATTTTGAAAATCAAGCACTGTTACCGTAGTTAGGGAAGTTATTAGTGAAATTGGAGATTAAAAAATTTGGATGAATAGAATTTTGAAAAAAGAATACTCATAGTCGCAAGCTAACTTAAAATAAATACCCTTACAATATTTTTCCCGACAAAGGAACGGGCGCAAATCCGGTATTTTACATAAAAATATTTTTTTTTGCAAAATCTACGCAACATAGGTATAGAGAAAGCTATTAAAAAATTGTAGGGTCTACAGAAAGGCATCTAATGAAATCATAAAACACAGGGTGTTCTATTTGAAAAAGTCGAGATTTTTCAAATTTTAAATTATCAGGTTTGGCACGATTTTTTTTGCCCCCTGTATATCGCAGGTCAACTTTTGATACGTTTTTTGAAAGAGCCATCTTCACTCTACAGTTCCTGAAAAAAAAATAATTTCTAGCTGTCATACAATCATAATTATGTCAACTACTAGAAGTGACGAAACATAAGAAAAAAAAATGAAAAGTCGATTATCTCGAAAACTATCAATATTTTAATAGGGATCATAACACAAAGTCCCGTTAATTTTTCACGTAGAATTCGATAATGCCATAAAACATATAGGTTTCCATTTAAAAAAATTAAGTTGGTACCTGCCCAGGAAAAACTGAACACACTGTATATGCAAATATATTTTCAATTTGTGCAGCTCGAGAAAGTAGGCAACTCTGTAGAAAAAAAAATTAAGTTATATCTTTTATTAACTTAGATATTGGACTTAGGCGCACTAGGTGGACACGGTGTATATTATAAGAAATTGTCCTGAAATTCCGGAACGTACTTGGAAAACACCCAGTTTTTCCTAAGTATTGATAAGTACCTATTAATATTATAGGAATATTTTGGATGTCAATTAACTTTACTTCTAAATACTATAACTGTACAAAACTAATGCAAAATACAAGTATATGTGAAATGTGCTTGAGTAATGTTCAATGCAAAAATATATGAGATTCAAAATATGAGACACATATATACAATATTTAACTGTCTTTTGAATAGTGAAATATTAATAAAGCACTGCAAGAGCAGTGTCAAATATGAATAAATCAGAACACTTGTGAAGAAAAAAAAAGAATCTCATATATCTTTGCCGACCACTTCATTGTGCAATAGTTTGCGACCAAGACACCAGACAAATAATTAAGAGAAATATATTTCTAAAGCCATCAAGAATATGGTATATTTTTTATAGTGGGGATATCTTTTAAAATGTGCATTAGTGCGTTCATATTCAATTCAATTTTAATTACTGGGTCGAGTTCGATGCGCTCGTTGGGTGTCGCTCCCAAGAAACGTACCGGTCCTTCGGGGAGTTCTTGTGGGAAAGAAGGTTTTCCGGAGTTGGCGCTATGCGTGTTGAAACTGTCGCTGTCCACGAGATCCAGGGATGGTCTGCGGACGTTGGCGCGGGTTCTGCCTCTGGTTCCCTGAAAAAATATTAGATAAAGGCGTCCTTACACTGTCGTTCCATCTCGCGCGTTAGGGACGAACAACTAAATTAGGGCATAAAAGCATTGAAATTGAACAGATCCTTCTTGATTTTCTTTAAGGCAGAGCATAGTCTATAGTATCATGGAAATTGAGCATTTTATTTATTTTTTAAATAAAATATTGTACATTCGATATGATGACAGATTTAGTTTGTATTTTGAACACAGCTGTTTTCCAGATATCAACAATTATTAAACTATGTGCTTATGAATTGCTTTTTAAAATCTATATTCTAAATAATGCGGCCACCGCCTTAAAGTGACAGTAGGAATCGAGTCAAGGGCAATGCGATTAGAATCGCTAAAATGCACCAACCTGAGTTTCGTCTGAAATGCTATCGGCCTCACTGCTAGCGTTGGGTGCTGTCTCAGTTGTTGGCCTTCCCCTACCACGGCCTCTGGTGACTGCTTTGGTGGTTTCCTCTTCCGCAATGGGAGTGGTGTTAAGGTTTCGACTCCTTAAATGAAAAGAAAAATATGTAGTCATAGTGGGAATTTTAAATTTGTGGAGTACAAGAATATCGAATATTTCTATAAAGTTTTCCCAAATGGAAAGATGTCCTCACCCTCAACTATTTAAACTTTTGAAAAGATACAGGGTGATCCCGAATAAAGTGTAAACAATTTACAAGGTGACTTTATTCACAAAAATAATGTCACGAGTTATGACACTTCCGAACTCAATAATTCAGTCACAGGATGTTATTTTTTAACGTTTTGCTATAATTTTTTTTTTCGTTAAGCGATTTTTTCCTCTTATTCTTGGTGACATATTGCATCTACGAGAAAATCGTCAAAAGTTTGAAGCCATGAAAGATTTAAGTGGTTTATTGACTAAAATATTTATTATAACTTTTTTTTTTGCTTTTTTTTTTTTTAATTTAAATTGTTTAATATTGAGAATCAGTAAATAATCCTACAAAAAAGGTCCTCTTGTTACAAATTTATAACATTAAGAGTTTCCAATAAAAATCGGATTTAATGTTATGGAGCAACTTCTATCATCTATTTTGAGAATAAACGAAGCAAGATTTAAAAATTGTGTTTTATATATTTGCAAGTATTAAATTCTGTCAAATTTTCTTAAATCGTATTGATATATTATAAAAATTTTGAAAATGTTTCAAAATATTAATTCAACATTTCTCGAAAACGGTTATTGTTATAAAGTTTAATTTATGGGAAAACAACAAATAAAAGAATTATAAGAGGTTTTCTAGTTTAAGGTTTCACTGATTTTTACCCTTATATGTAGTTTAAAAAATAGAAAGGTTGATACCTTTCTATTTGACAATTTGACAAAAATTATGGCAAAATTTGAATTAAAAAATTAATTTTGAGGTAGCGTAATTTTGTCAATATCAAGTTTAAAATTAGTGTCGTAATTTCCGAACATGTCTAACATTATAGTCAAAATATAATATTGCTTATGCTAAACATTTATTAATACAACTATACAAGCATTTAAGAGACCTAAAACTAATAAATTTATTAACAAATTAGCAAAAATTGAAAAAATTTAAAATAGGTATATTTAAGTTAACATTTATTTCAGTGTAAACTGTTTTTAATGGCAATGACGCCATTCCTAGTCTGTCAAGTGGCAAATAAGCTTTTTCTATTGAATAGAATCACGCCTATAAGTTGCCTGAGGCTTCGAGAATTAAAAAAACATGGTTTTATAGGTTTGCCTATTAAAAATCTCGATCTAAAGAATGTAACTCTCGATTAAAAAAAAACTGTTTATTTCGCAAAGTGCGAATTGGGTAACCAAACATGTTCCTGTTATAGAAAGGATAGAAAGTAAACAGGCAGAAATTGTATCAACAAAAAAAAACTCGACTCGGCTTGGTTTCGTAGTTCCTTTCATTTCAGTGGGTTCAAAATGATCTATAAAATAAGTTAGTTACTAACCTACGTCCCTACGTTGCTCACTTGTATCAACAATACTTAAATTATCTATAGTTAGAGTTTAGTCGGTTATTTAGGTGGTTTATATTGAAATAAGGTATTAGAATAGGTGGTTGTGTTTAATATGTGGTTCATTTAACAAAAGAATATAACCAATCCTATGTGAATTAGATCGTACAATGAAAAGAAATCAGTTCATGTGAAAGTGATTTTAAGAAAAAAGTTTTTAGTTGAAAGTGTGTTAGTAAGTTTGAAGAAGGGGTACCGATTGTTTATATAAGTGTTAAAGCTGCCAAAAGCATTTTACAGCTGCATTTCAACAAAATATTTAAGGAGCTAGAATTCCATATGGAGCTGCAGAAAATATGTTTACGATTATGGAAGATATTGACTGTCTTAAAAAAATTGAAATTTCAATAAAAAAATGGCACTTTTTTACAAAATTTCTGCAATCTTATTATAATTTTGTGATTAAAAAAACTGATTATGTTAATTCAAAAAATATTCTTGTAATTTCGATTTCGAGTTCGAGTCCAGGACAAATCACATTTTAAGTAAAGGTAAGACGGCATACCCTCCATACGTTACTTTGGCTGATTTTTCCCGAAAAAACTGGAAGCCAGGGGACATTTCAATCGTTTATTTGATCAAAAGTTGACAAACTTGGGGTGGAAACAAGTTTCCTAGAGGGTAAAGAACATCATGCATGTTTTTATTTTATTTTTCGTATTTTGTAAACTTTTTTTAACCTTGGTGGGAACCTGGTGTTGGCCGGAAGTCGTTCTTCGTTGACTGTCTCCTCTTCGCCGAGTTGGCGACCCCTGGTCTTGCTCCCGCGGGATGGAACTACCTCGTTGGCCTCGGGGGTGGGTTTTTCGCGGTTTTTCTCACCCCTGGTGATCTGGTTGCGAGCTGGACCATCGTGGGCGTTGGTAACCTGAAATGAAAGAGAAATAATTATTATCATTTCCCATAACTAGCATTTCATATTAAATTGAATATATTTATTCGTAAAGAAAACATATAATCACCTTTTTCTCGTCTTTAGGATCCTCTTCGTCGTCATAATAATAGTACACGTACTCATACTCGTACTCTTGGCCATTAGGTCCTTTCTTGATCTGAATTCTAGATCTCTGTTTGTCACTGGCAGAGCCAAATAGAGGAACGTCATCGTCGTCATCGACCTTCTTGGGTGTTGGTTTTGCAGTGGTTAAGACAGGGCTGGGGCTGGTAACTTGTAAGGCCTTTTGTCGAATTGCTCTTTTCGCCCTCTTGTTGGAACCACGTCGTCTACCAGATTTGGTGGTGGTTGCGGCAGCTTTCGGTTTTGGTGTGGTGCTCGTTTTCAGTTCAGTTTCGTACCTGAAAGAAAAAGAAAACTACAATTATCTAGTACATAAAATCTCGAATTTAATCTTCACAAATATCTCAACATTTTTTAATAACTTTAATATACAGGGTGTCATAGAAAGTGCGGTCTTTTTGTTAGTATATATTTATGGGTATTGAAAAGAAATATAATAAAAAGAGAAATATTGGAAATTGTGAGAAAACTTACCCATTAAAAATTGTCACCGTTTTTTTTACACAAATCCTTTCTTGACTTATTCTCAGTGCAAGCAGTAAGTAATGCATTTTCTTGTTCTATGATTTCCGCGGCGTTTTCAACCGTAATTCCTTAATCTTACTTACTACTGTTTTGCATAACTACGCGACGTCTCTGTGGCGTTGTGCCGACATTCGCCATAGTTTAACAGTATTAAAAATTCATTATTGTCATACAAATGTGCCATTTTGTAATTACTATCACTAACTTAATTCATTTAGTAAGTCAAACGCTTAATTTTTGTCCCATAAAACTCCAACTTATAAATGTTAAGGCCGTTGTAAACCGGCCTTAAAAGTTGTAAATTCTATATACTCTGGTTATTAAAAGTGTTTTTTTAATTATTTATTTTTATACCTATTAAAGTTGAATTGAAATTGCAAGTTGAATTGAAATTTTCACTTTCGATGACACCCTGTATTTGTAAGGAAATTAAATTTAATTTTGTGACATGTACAGGGTAACCCATAATTCTCTTTTCATTTGAATCAGAAAACAAGTGATCATCGATTTAAAAAATATATACAGCTCAAAAAACGATTTTTTTGAAAATAAACATCCTCCATTTTAGGTAGGTATATACAGAGTGGTGTATCGGAAGTGTGGATTCTATGCAACAACAACAGTTGTTTAGTTTGAAATTTGATTATGAGGATAATAAACTGACAACAGAGAGACAACAGAGATCTAGTAATCTTGAATATAGTGTGTCCACGGATGAAGTTGACAAGAGGAGAAACTTTTTTGTTTTTGACTTTATCGAAAAATGTCACTCTTTATAAAAAGTTCTGCTTCTCGAAAAAATGAGGCTGTCATACAAACATCTTAGATTAGATATACAGGGTGCTCATAAAAACAAGAAAATACTCAAGAGAGAAGTACCATTATTTTACACAAAATTTGTATGAAACAAATTTGTTTATAACCTCAAATAATGTCCTAATACAAATTTTAAAATCAAAATTTCGATTTTAACTTTTACTCTACCTCCCACCTCAACACATTTTTCCGCTAACTTAATAAATTTTTTGTACACTTTGCCACATTACAGGGAAGTATTAAAAGAGCGCATACGAGAAGGAATAAATGTATTCAATGGGCCTCAAACTATTCACAAAGCTATATAGAGTAAAAGTCAAAATTGAAATTTTGATTTTAAAATTTGTATTAGGACATTATTTGAGGTTATAAACATATTTGTTTTGTAAAAATGTTGTGTAAAATAATAAATAACGGTTCTTCGCTTTTGAGTATTTTCTTGTTTTTTTAATTTATGAACACCCTGTATATTTAATCTAAGATATTTGTATGGCAGTCTCATTCTTTCGAGAGGCAGAACTTTTTATAAAGAGTGACATTTTTCGATAAAGTCAAACACAAAAGAGTTTCTACTATTGTCAACTCCATTCGTGAACACACTGTATGTCACTGATTAGCTGGAACAGTAGCTTTTTATTTTTTTTTTGTGTTAGTCAAACAGAAAGTTGAACAAATAAATTACAAATGTTTCTAAAGTGTTCTTATATCATTTTATAAAAAAAGCAGTGTATGTATTTATTAAAATGATAAACATATTTATATTTTGTCCCGTTCTAATAACAAAAGGCAATTCGCAATAAATAGATAACTATGAGCCACCCTGTATGTCATTAACCATGAAAATTGTTTCAAAAGTATACTCTTATAAGAACACCAAGTCACGATATACATTTGTTTGTTCCAACCAATGATGCCAGATAGGTATAGTTGAAAATACCTAGATGTTGTGCTGAAATTCCCTGGAATTTTTTATCAATGTAGCGGCGACATTTAATTGTCTTCAGAAAATATGCAATAAATACAAAAAAACAGAGTAAAATAATAATAATAATAATAATGAATAAATAAATAAGAAAATAAGTGACTGTCTTTCTAAAAAAACATATTTATTGTGTTACCTACTGAATTGTATTCAAAATTAAAAAATCAAAATGAATATATTGATTTACCACGTTACTTCTATAAATTTATTATAGTCTTAAATGCTCTACTTTGCACAACAGCGCAAATTCTAAGTTATCGTATAAATTTTTATACTTCCTTAGCTTTTTAGTTTAGTTTTTTTTTCTCTAGAACTAGGGAAAGTTCCCCAAATCTGGCACCACTGGTTCCAACTGAGCCTAGAACCACTTCAAAACTCTCAGAAATGGTGATCGAACATTTCAGATGCTTTCAAACCAGTCCTACACTGTTATAGGAGACCTTACATCAACTTAATTTAAGTGTTGCAATTCTTAGTACTTACTTTTTGAGGAGAGCTTTGATGTCCAACTTGATGGCTCCCGCTGGGGCTGGTGCCGCCCCCTGTGGATTGGCTTCTCTTTTCTGGATGTGTTTTACTGGTTTTATGGGTTTGGTGGGTTTCTTCACGTCTCCATCCTTCAGGGAATAGGTAAGGGAGGCAGGAACTTTGTGGGAAGTCTCGAAAGGTCTGTCTTGTTCGGTGACTTTGTCCTTCCTGGAGATGGGCCTGGCGTCGGGGCCAGTGGATTGGACGAAGACGAATTCATCACCTGGTTTGGGTTCCGTGACGAGATCCGCATCTTTGGCGGTGGGGTAGGCGGAGGAGATGGCTATCGTTAGGCAGAGGAGTCTGAAAGCAAGAGGGACACTGATATATAACTGCTTTAGAAATGTCTCCGCAGAAAATTTTGCGTAGCATTCTGTCTCCCTTATCTCTTTTACTTAGAAGAAAATACTATAAGCCAAAGTTTTGGTAAATGGACGTATTTTGTGAATGTTTATGGAACTATATCGATTTTTTTTTGTAAATGTCACTTTGATAGCTAATATTGCTCCACCGTCACAAATGAACCGAATACAGAGCCTTCAGAAATGATTACAAACCACGTAATCAGTAATTTTGTTAGGAATAGTAATTTTATTTCCTTCATGTGATACTTAGTGATAATGAAATTTTGGAAAGTATTCTTATGGTCACAAAGTTTTTCAGTTTTATACAATACAAAAAGGGTGTTAAAAACCATAGACAAATATAGTAAAATAAGAATGCAATATTTATTTTAACTTACTATTTTATTATTTTTTAATTTTGTCAGATTAATAGCATGTACTGAAATTTTTAGTTTTTATGTTAATCATTTCTTTCTAAAGTCGTTAATTATAATTCTTTTGTGTGCCAATAATTTTAGTTTCATCAAAGACCGTGCGGGGTCTTTATGAAATGTAAGCTAGGTCAAATTGTCTGAAATTGTGGTAAGTTTTGTCTAACTGGCCAAAAGTCTTTACAGTATTTGGATCCGAAAATCAATTCTCTCCTGCTTATAGCGTCTGAGACAGTCACTAAACCTCTTGGCGTTAACAAATTTATATTCAAATCTAGTAGTCATGCTATTTTCTCGGAGAATCAAGTGTGCAATGTTTACGTCTGTCGGTTACGGAAGAAATAAGAGAAAATCTATGCAAAAGGAAAACGTGCCTTCAAAAGGAATCCAAACGAAACCCGTTCCATATTGCACTTGTTCTGGTTCAACTGGTCAGTTGGAACTCACATATTCATAGAAGGTTTACGCTACAAAGTTTATTAAACTGGCCAATAGTAATTACCATTCTTTTGAATCGTGTTAATTTTCTTCTGGCATAAATTCCCTTTTAACAATATGCTCTTCTCAGAAAAAGATAATTAATCAAATTTACCTTGTAAACAAACGAAAGAGAAAATCGCTTGGGTGAAAAGTGGATCTTCACGATCATTATTGTTTGTTAAATTCGCCATTCATCTTTTTAGCAATATATCTTGAAAGATAATACCTAATTAAAGGACTTTTTTCATTGTGCATACATGTATGTATTCTTTATTTAATGAGCCTAAGAATAAATAATTATTCCATTAAGGAAAGTAGATATTTTTAGAATATTAATTATTTCTGAACAGAAAAATTATTATCAATGATGAAATACAAGGTGTCCAGAAAGGAATGGCTCAAACTAAACATAATTCTAACATTTTTTAAAATATTTCGGTGAAATTTGTTATAGAGATAATATAAGAGAATATAAGAGGATATAAGAACATAAGCTTATTTACTTGAAATATAGGGATTAAGCATAGCAGAAATAGTACCTACATATTTGAATTTTTTTGCCACATTTCTTTTTTTAATAGAGAATTTAGGAAAACAAAGATGTTTTATGAAACATCACTGTAAAAAAGATATATTTGCACTAAATGCATTTTTTTTTTCGGAAAAAATGGATTTTAATTTTTTGTATTCGTTTTTTAGTAGTATTTGAGTGCATTCTAAAATGTATTATAAAATTCCCTCTTTTCTCAAAATTTAATTGTTTTTTTGCAAGACAGACCTATTTTAGAATTCCAATATATACAGAGTGTCCGGAAAGGTCATGTCAAAAATGAAAAGGTATACAGGGGAGGTCAAAATATATGTAGAACTTTATATAATTTTTTTTCCTATCGGATTTCGTTGTGGAGTTATTTGCCTTCAAAGAAAGAAGTTTGAAAAACAAATTCGAATTATAACTTCTAAGTCGTTACCATGACAACAATGAAATTTAGGCAATTAAAGTAAATCATAGTAATGTTCTTTTCCAAGTTTAAACTGATTTTCAATATGCCAGGATTATACAGGAGCAGACGAAATTAACTATTTAAATTTATACATCTTTGGCAGTGTTGCCAAATTTGGCATTTTTCTTTCACAGTTCGATTCCTCTCTCATTTTTCTTAAAAGCTGTATAAATTTAAATGTATAATTTCGTCTGCTTCTGTATAATCCAGGCATACTGAATATCAGTTTAAACTTGGAAAAGAACATTACCATCAGTTACTTTAATTTTATTGTTGTCATGGTAACGAGTTAGAAGTTATAATTGGAAATTGTTTTTCAAACTTCTTTGAAGGCGAATAACTCCACAACGAATCCCAATAGGAAAAAAATTTATATGAAGTACTACATTTATTTTGACCTCCACTGTATACCCTTTCATTTTTGACACGACCTTTCCGGACACCCTGTATATTTTAACCCAAGTAAAATGTGAAAATATTAAGATCTTTCTATAGTAGTTATGTTTAAGTGTTGATCTTTGTCGAAGACGATGTTAGAACTACAAAAATACAAGATATTTCTTTGAAAGGTTAATAATAATATTTAGACAAAACATTTTCAATTTTAATTTAAGACAATTAGTAATTAATTACTAGCTATTTGGTAGCGAAGAACTTTGTTTAAATTAATCAGCTCTGACCACGAGACGCTGGCGTTTACAATAACAAATAACTTTGGTTTTCAACAGAGGTACCTAGTTATCCGCGACCAAAAGTATAGTGGTATCTTTGGTTATTCTTTCCTCTATGTAAAACACGACGTTTATTAGTCTTTAGAGGATTGAATCAGTTACTTGCAACGTTCTATGACAATAATATTTCCTTGAAGAAAACTATTTGTTAACTGAGTATCGTCAAATACATTTCTATCATCAGCATAGAAACTATGTCTGGGTTAGAGGTGATGCGAAATATCCGAGGTATAAACCAATAACAAAGCTGGTCCCAACACCAAACCCTGAGGGACGCCTGAATGAATTGATTGATAATCTGGTCTATTGGCTACCCTAACGAAATGTGCCCTTGTACAAAAAATTGAAGGTCCGTAAATGATTAACGAAGCAATTTTGGCATTATTATACATTCTAATTTATTTTGGTAGATTCATGATAAATCTAAAAGGTGCTGGTCCAGTAAATTTAAGTATGTAAATAGAAATTAACAGAGCATTCCGTGTTACTAATTGCCGGAGAAATTAGTTAAGTTAGCAATCGTCGCTAGTTCTAATTTATGCAGTTACAGTTAACTAGAATTCAATAATTAACGGATTAGCCACAAAACCAGGTCGATAGTAATTATTTCAGTATGTTAATCAGAGCCTGGCAATTGGAGGTGCAAAGGTTGCCACTGTAGAAGGTCTATGTGAGATCTGTGTATGTTTGGCAAAATATTCAACTGTCTTTACGTAGATTAAATTATTGTTAATAACTTACGCAGGTATTAGGTAATATATTTCACTAACTATACTATTTTATTTATAGTCAGAAACATACGAAATGATTTTTAGTTATTCCACATAACAATCTGAGGGTTTAATGAATGTTGAACACAAACGACACAGGTGTAACATTTTGTCGCATATTACGAAATATTTCTATAGATATTACAAAACATTGGACCGAGGCGGTTTTAATAATATTTTAAAGTGTAAATAATTACAGTGACGGAAAGTGCAATGCGTGGGGAAAATATGTAGTTGTAAATATTTTACTGAAATAATAGAAGTCTACAGGGTGACTCACTACCATTTATTTTTGTTTTAAGAGTTATAAAAAAATGTGAAATACAAAAGTTGCACGATTTTTTATGAATTATTCGAAAATGATAGTTGAAAAACAAATATAGTCCAAACAAAATGGCAGCTGATGTTAACTTTTGTTAAGTTAAATGGAACACCCTGTATATTTTTACATATTTGGATAGAACTTTCCCTGTTGAGCATAGTCATATAGGGTTTGATGGGTTCATCTCTAACAATAAGCGAGATACTATTAAAAAAAGAAAGGAAGGTTTTTTTATTTAAATTAACAGAGTTAACAGACGCTGCCATTTTGTTTGGACTTAATTTGTTTTTCCACCATCATTTTTTTTAAATTCATTAAAATTCGTGCAATTTTGGTATTTTACAGTTTTTTATAACTTTACAAACAAAAAAGTTAATGGGAGGGTCAAAATATAGTGAATCACCTTGTACATTCTACAACATTTAACAAATAACAATAAAGAAAAGGAACTGCTGCATTTATGGAAATTAAAATAACAGTATTTTTAGTACTGTATTCTTTACGGAAAAAGTTGTATTCATAGAAATTTGTTAGTATAATCAAAAACGTATCAAATTTTATGCAATATTTTAAATAAATAAATATTTATAGAAGTTACATATTTATAAGTTACGTAATAAAATTTATACTCTCAATACTTTGTACTGGAAACATAGTCAATTCATGTTCATTAAAATTCTCTTAATTTGAGTAGTCATTTAATTTAATTTATTTATTTTACTCCATGTTCCTATTGTAATATATAAAAATAGAGACAATAATAAAATTCTTCAAGGTTTTTGCTAATTACTGCAGGTACATTTTAGAACGCAATAATTGATACGTATATGTGTATTTATAGATATATTTAAGATGCATCATTAAGTTAACCACCATTTATTTATCTGAGATTCAAAAGATGGAACTTTTTATAAAATCGCCTTGTAGATAAACACATTATTCTTTGATTTGTTTCAGATATACAACAGAGAGAACGTACCTGTCTTACAAATACATTTTTTCACTTGTACCTTGGCAGGTGTCGTAATTGATCTCAGTTACAGCAACTAGAGTAACACACTTAGATTTATCTAGGTTTATTGTACCAGATTCCATTTCGCAGACAAGTTACGCTTATTTAACGATATCTAAAAATACACATTGTACCATTTGAAATGTGCATAGATCTCCATCAGCAGGATTACAAAATGAAAATGTCAAAATTTAGTCCTAGACAACCGT